AAATGTGAAATTCTTAAGAAAACTGATATTATCATGGATTTCGTGACACAAACTAACCGAAATACTACTTTGGACGATTGAACAGTTTTAATACGGAAAGATAGGATTAGATGAAATTTTCATCGGGGTGGGACACCGCATGTATCGTAAGTTAAGCTAATTTTGTGATCATTTTTCAGTGACTTCAAATAAATTTTTATTTAAATAACCATTTGCACATTCTGTTTATTATATCTTCTTGCAGTAGGTGTATTCCCTGCTTCAATAATTCATTCAAACCCTAAACAAACTGTTCCTAAATAGAGGTAGGGTCGAAATTCCACAAAAAAAGACGCCATTTTGAGGGTAATTTCGATATATTTTCTGCTTTTTCTCTTCTTTTGCTTTTATAACAATATCCTCCTTGCTCATGCAGCTTCTTTGATTTGTTATTGAAACATACACAACGATGTCATGAGAATTTGGTCGGCTATCTAAATTTAAATAACATTCTTGTTATGGTCCCCCCGCAGTGCACCACTAGCAAAGAATGACTGTATTGTAATAGACTTGTGAAGATTATTTTGTCTATAGCTACTTATATTTGTCTCGTCTGCTTGAAGTCAGACTTCATCAGGGAAAGAAGGTTTGAGGTTTTTATGAATAGATGGCATGCTCACATTCATACAATTGAATAACCATCGTGAGTATCACACTGCAAGACTTGGACGTTTTTTTTTGTTGTCAATCAAATTTCCAGAATGGACTAACTTAGAGCCGATCAAATTTTGGTGGAGATAAATTAATTGATTGATTGGTTGATTGATAATAAATGAGAATTGATCTGCCTTGACAGAGATCTGTGCTTTTTGGTTACTTTTCTAGTTTATGTAAGTAATATATTATATAGCTTAATAGTTTTCTTCACTTGCCTTGCCACAGCAGGGTGGTAAGTGACTGCCAAAGAGAATTGGCCACAGTGAAGTAGGAGCCCTGTTCTTGGCCCACCTCGTGACGCTGATAGCACTTATACCAGCCATAGGGACTATACTTCTCCATCAGCCATATCATGACGCTAACCTAGACATTGTAAAAACAAACTGAGTGTGTTATGTTATGTTTCAAATCTGGAGAAATACTATATGAAAAATTAAACTGTGATAGGACATAAAATGACTGAACAAAAAAATCCGTTCATACACTTTTGGTCAAAAAAGTTGTCCCACCTGAAAGATAATTGCGATACGAGATGCCATACACGCTCAAATACAGCTAACCTTTAAACAGCACATTAGGATGCTTACTGTGTGCAAATTTGGTGACATGTGCCGTTTCTATGGCCATTTTGAAATACGTGTGGCATTTTGTTTTTGAGGGAGGTGCATGTTGTTTTAAGAATTAAAAAGAATAAAAATCGATTAAATGGTATAAAATATAAATATCTTCACCGGTATTTTGGCTTATAAAATTATATGGTATCCTGAATAAAAATCACTATTTAAAACAGCTGCCATGTGATCATTTGTAAACAAAAGCAAATGAGTTTGAAAGTAGGACAACCTTTTTGATCAAAAGTGACAATCACGAGAAAGTAAAGCAGAGTTACACCTCAGTATTGAAATCATTTTGCTTGTATGAATCTGCACCTATGGGCCAATGGGGGCGCGTGCACCTCACACCTGTATAGTGAATCCACGTGTTGCTCACGTATGGGCCAATACAACGTGTACCTACCACAATAAACGCTGCTAACAGACAGAGCCAGACTTGGTAAGAAACGATGCTCATAACGCCCATGCCCTGACTCAGGTGTGCCGACTGCTCGTAGGGCCTCTTGATGAGAATGGTGATACCGGTGTCGGCAAAAACCCTCACAAAGTCCACAACTCTTAATCTGTCAGGGGTGATGGTGATGGCTGCAGCGGCCATGTCGACGGTCTGATAGAAAAAGGTGGGAGAGAAAATGATTTGATATTGACTACGAGAAGATTGAATTAAATGCCGTGTACAACGTTGAAAACAAAAATTTAGTTCCCCAAACTATGAAATGCTTTGTGAATTCATTAATTCAAAGCACCGGCGTTAGCGATTTAATGGAAAATAACTGTTAATACTGAATATACGTGCACGTCCATTCATAGTCTAAAAGAAGGAATACTATAAAATACAATATAAAAATAAAGGAATAATAAATGATCTAGAAAAAACTTAGAGGCTGACAGACCTCTGCCAATGCAGTTCATTTCTCCTTATTATAAATTTTTATCGATTATTAAATAAATTAAATTTCTCAATTCTCATAATAATTAATCACCTATTAATGAACTAATCAGCCCCGATTTTCCACTGTTCAATTAATCACCACAAATATCTCGTTTCTGCCCTACGCGTTTCATCAAAACTCGCCTGCAACTTTTGACCTGTTGCTAACAGACAGACAGGACTAAGGACAAACTGACGTATAGACAGACTAACAGACAGACAAACGGCACCCTGACAGTAAACATATTGGCAGAGGTTAAAAAATAAATACATTTGACAGAAGACCAAACATCTGGAATTAATTAAATGTAATATCAACATACTCCATTTCATGACCTACATGTATCTAAAATCTAAAACTACTGATCATACTAAATCTTCGTCTACTTACATGGTTGAGTACCTCCCCGATCATACCATTCCATTGTCCTACGCTATCATAAGTTCCCCATCGTCCATCCTGGACAATTCGTATCTCGTACCTTGCCTGGATGAACTCAAATAGGTCCATGAGCACATCGGGGACAAAACCGTAGAATCTGTCATTGCCTTTCAAGTTGGTGTTGTTGGAGATGTGCATGAAGGGTGGGTGCTGGAAGAAAAGTTGGGGGTTTCCTTACATGTAGCCAATCTGCATGTATTCCTCATTTTAGTCTTTTTTTTACATTAAAATTGCTGCATCACAACCAACGCATCAGATAAGACGTTCTCTCTCTCTCTCTCTCTGTCTCTCTCACGCACACACACGCTCGCCCGCGCATACCACACGTGCGCACACGCACACACACTAACTCTCTCTCTCTCTCTCTCTCTCTCTCTCTCTCTCTCTCTCTCTCTCTCTCTCTCTCTCTCTCACACACACACACACACACACACACACACACACACACACACACACACTGCTATATGCTAACGACTTGCAAGCTCCCACCACTGCATATCAATACGTACCGCTATTGTGGAGACTATGTAGGTCTTGTTTCCAGGCGATGTCACTTGCCGCTTCTCTCTTGTGGCTTGCGGAGATAATGGAAGAAAGTTATTGGAAATTACGTGGGTATTTTAAATGATAATTTGAACTATGGATTTCTTTTGTTTGGTCTTTGACGCACAAACACACACGCATACAAACACACACAAACACTGTGGCTCTATTCCCATAGATTTTAGATCGATCTATACCCGCGGGGAGTCTCACTAGATTACTTTCAGATAATCCAACTTAAATGTCCGTCCCGCCTACTACAAGCTGTAAGGGGGTAATTAACTTTCGTGTCCGCCCGGCTGACAGCTATTTAGCGTGAACCCCCAGGGAGTTAGGTCGATCTAAAGTAGATCGATCTAATCTCTGGAAATGGGGTCTTATAGACGTGCAAGCCTTGCTGAGTGTGTATCGGTGTGTAACAAAAATGTTTCCAAACTCAAACGGAGGGTCAAAGATCTGTTACCTCAGACGGGAAATTAGATCTGCTTTCAAATTGGACGCTACCAGAATTTAAAAAAAGAGTTAAGTATGTGTGATCTGAAGCACATAGAAGATAGTAAGAACTACCCCAGTGGGTCCCAGAGAGTGTATGTGTCATTTTTGGAAGGTGTGGCACAGTGTAGATAACCCATTTAATTTTGTTACATTTATTCTATTATCCTTTCAAAAATGCATCTATGACAAGAGAGTAGTGAAGAATACGACCCTCTATATAACTATTGTAATTTGATTACACAAGATATATCCTGAAACTGTGTCCACCGGCACGCATGCTAAAACCATACGCTCGGTATTTACTTATGTCGCGGAGATTAAGGAATGTGTCACAGTGAAAGGGCCGTCTCCCGGGAGAAGGGCATGTGACAAATGTGTGCAGGTTGATTGAGAGAATACAGGTCGCGTGTTAAGATGCAGGATGTGAACCTTACACCGTTGAATAGGAACTTCATTTTACGTAGCGGTTTTGTCACGTGCCCGCTTCTCTCTCTCTCTCTCTCTCTCTCTCTCTGTGCACCCGCTTCTTTCTCTCTCTCTCTCTCCCTCTGTGTACCCGCTTCTAGCTCTCTCTCTCTCTCTCCTGGACACTCTGAAGTCCAGCCTTATAATTTGTAGAACGATGCTGCTTCACATCAAACCCGTGAAATATCATGACTTGATATAAGTAAGGCATTTGAGAGTACCTTATAGAGAGATTCGTATGCATCGCGCTGATGTCACTAACATCGAGAAGATAAAAGCCGAACTTTGAAATAAATTGTGACATCACATTCAACTCAAAGTCTATATTAACTAAGACGTGTTATCATATCATTACACTCTCAAAGAGACTCTATTCAGGGCATCGCTCACGCACTTGCGTCTCACACCCATTCCTGTCCTGCCCGTGCCGGCATGCAACTCCCACTTCGATATAGCGGGGTACGGTGCTGAACAGGGCTGAGGGTAAAGGTATGAAAAAAAGCTGTACCTTCTTGCTTGCAGTCGGTGCCCAGAGTCAGAGCTGCAATGACAACGAGTATCCTTAATATCACCGGCTTCATCTTGGATGCTAAGCGGTCCCCGAAATCACCAGTTCAATCAGTTCAAAATTCTATAACGGCTCAGTAGCCTACATAAAAAGTTTAACTAGGTCGCGACGCGATAAAGGCTATGACGACTATCTGCTGGTTTAAAACGAGTCGCAGGGTTGACGTCATGGGAGTATGGCGTATGACAAAATAAATGCAGTGATAAAATGCAATATAATTAAGTCCTGGGTTTTACTCCATTCAGTAGCATTTAAATTCTCTTCACAATAAAATGGGTTTGTATTTAAATGTGAGAGAGTAGATTATAGGACCCTAATCACCTCCAATATCTTTCTTGACGTTATCAAGTTTTTAGAGCGAAACTAGGTCGTTTGCACAGTTTACGGCCCACGCCGGGGACAAGGAATTGTGTGGTGGCTGAAAATACACCTGGACGCCCTTTATGCCTACACCTATACACGGTAAATTAGGCCGTACTGAACGCAAGGATGCAGAAGCGACTTATTCACGTAGAATCAGAATAAACAAAATGTAACCGACAAAATCATTTTATTATTGTTAGAGGGGTTATAAAACAAACATATCACTTTTGAGTTGACTTGATGCTCCATATAGTAAGGACTTTACGGGGAAAACCTTGTGTGCTTCCCGCCCCAATCTCAATTGGGACCCTATTCCAAAAATGATTGCAGGTTTTATTACATGTACATCTGCGTTTAATTAAATTTAATTAATTAATTAAATTTAATTAATTAATTAATTAATTTATTTATTTATTTATTTATTTATTTATTTATCGAAATAACCAAAGCGCACGTGAAATCTAGATCTGCTAAATAGACTTAGCGGTATACCTGCGCTTCGCAAAATGTGGCTTAGCTTCGCGTCAGCAAACTCTTCACCGGGAAATAAAATACTGATCTCGAGATGAAGACGAAGGTAACTGCAGAGACACGACAGATGCGTATTACGTTATGAGTGTTATTAGTCTTTTTTCATTCAATTCAAAGCACACTATTTAATTTTCACCTGTTTCATTGCTGGTAAAAAAAAGATTCAGACATTGATCCAGTCCCTGTATGTCCACGTGTTATACATGGATAGGCCTAATACAACTTGCTGAGAAACCTAATTCAAAAGTACTTAAATTGAAACTAATTTTTCATCTTTGTGATTCAACCTAATGTGTTATCGTTACGGATTTCAATAAATGCAGGGTCTATGACGTATCATAATGAGTTTCTGATTTTTTTTTTCCATACAAACAATTTTTCGTTCGGCGTTCATTATCCCGTTGCTTCAACATTAGTAACTTTTCTCCTTTTCATGACCTTGTCCAAATTCTGTTCGATATCTCACTGCCCGATTAAGCCTCGTCACTGACTCACAGGCCTGATTGTCTATCATAATAATCAATAAATCAGTGCTGCTATTGAAAAAAACAAATAGAAGTGCAAACATTTGCTACAGAAGCTATCAAAATCTGTGTTAGTATGATATAAGTCGCATCACAATACAAGTAATAAATTTTGAAATCAGAAGTTTCTTTAGAAGCTCATACTACATTGGACCCCATTAAGAAAAAACAGTGAATATTTGCTGAATAACTATTGAACTCATTTATTTCTAAAAAATATGAATTTTCTTGGCCCCACCCGTTCATGAGTCACAAATTTTCCCCGTATTTTATCCAACACCATGAAATCAAAGAACAATCTACACTATCAAAATTAATAACATTTTAGCAAAATACTGACGAAGAATTAAAAGCAGATTGCGGTGTGGTTGGGTGCAGAAAGTGACTTGTTAGAGGTTTTATTCGGTATGTTATATGCTCTAATCTACATGTACGTAAGCTACAGCAGATATATAAGTAGAGACCCCCCTTACCTAACTGAATAATTTTTCAGTTGAGGCATCCGGCAATTATGTTTTGAATGACGTTCGTTTTGGACAAGACCATTTGTGAATGTTGCTCCAATTGTAACTTCATATACGCCCCTCTATAACTACTGGAAACAACAGTTACTTAAAGTTAAATCCATTTCTTTCACTCCGTCCAGTTGAAGTTCCCTTGTCAACTCAAGATTTTTGGACTGAGTGGCATTTGGATGAACGGATCTGTCTGCCGGATGCTCCAGGATGCTGTTTACGGGGGCGGGGTCATCCCGCTACAGTCTAGCTCCTTGCAGCACTTCCCAGGGGCCGGCTGTTTGAGTTGGCATCCGGCCGGAACTGGAAGATTTGTCCAGTCAGGGCACCTATATATAGACATAAAGAATCGGGTGCAGGCACGCTTTGTAGAATATAGGAACAGAAATCATCATTGCCACATATTGGCTAATTCCCAATGAAACTGTCGATCTATGTAGGTCGATCCAACTCCGTCGGGGTTCTCTCTGAGTGTAATCAGATTCAGAGTCTCCGCGGAATTGGATCGATCTACGTAGATAGATAATTTCATTGGAAATGCGCCATATAGCTGTATTTAAATTGATTAAATGAAAACACATCAAAAGGGAAAAGTTTCAGAAAAGCGTTTTACTTACACCTTTTCGCAATATACCTTATTGGTACCGATGCAAATACAGGATTGAGTGCAGCCGAATATTCTCTTTTCCATTAACTTCAATAGTACTCCATCTATCAAACACATGTCTACAAAGATAAGGGTTCAATGACAATGTGCAAGAACTGGAACACGGACTGAAGAAAGATGGATGATTGTTACCGGGAAGGGGGGGGGGCATTTAGATCTGACTATACCTTAAAAAGCTGACACCAAAGCAACCAGAAACAGTTGTAATCCTTCCAAATTAAAAAACAATGTGAAGAAAAGATAAAACCTGAATCGACCACCGAAAACTGAAAAATGACAGTAGTATCTTATTTCTGAATTTTAAACAACCACTAAAAACGAATGTTCACACAGAAAACAGAAAAAAATCATAATACAATAGCATAAAATTTAGTTTTACTTACTTGGAGGGGGAGTTCGTATTGGAGTTGTAGTTGTGGGGGTGGTGGTTGATGTTGTGGTTGTAGTTGGTTTTGTTGTGGTAGTAGGTTTAGTGGTGGTTGTGGTAGGTTGTGTGGTGGTTGTTGTAGGTTTAGTGGTGGATGTGGTAGGTTTTGTGGTGGTTTTTGCAGGTTTAGTGGTGGTTGTGGTTGATTGTTTGGTGGTTATTGTAGGTTTAGTGGTGGTTGTGGTTGGTTGTGTGGTTGTTGTTGTAGGTTTAGTGGTAGTTGTGGCTGGTTGTTTGGTGGTTGTGGTAGGTGTAGTGGTAGTCGTGGTTGGTGTAGTGGTGGTTGTGGTAGGTTTAGTGGTGGTTGTGGTAGGTTGCGTGGTGGTTATGGTAGGTGTAGTGGTGGTTGTGGTAGGTGTAGTCGTGGTTGTGGTAGGTTTAGTGGTGGTTGTGGTTGGTTGAGTGGTGGTTGTGGTAGGTGTAGTCGTGGTTGTGGTAGGTGTAGTGGTGCTTGTGGTAGGTGTAGTCGTGGTTGTGGTGGGTTTAGTAGTGGTTGTGGTTGGTTGAGTGGTGGTTGTGGTAGGTGTAGTGGTGGTTGTGGTAGGTTGTATGGTGGTTATGGTAGGTTGTGTGGTAGCTATAGGCATCCGTGTTTTAAACGTAGTCTTATATGCAGGATTCAGCTTTCCAGTGGTAGGAACAGAGGTGGTCGATACTGAATTAAACAAATGAAAATATAATCATGGTGACTACACATAACAAAATTTAAATTTCACTTCAGAACCTGCGTAAATGTATTATATATATAATGTGCATTATTCAAAGAAAACATAAAACTGTTATAAGTATATGAATGGGTATAATACTAAATATTCCATTAAAGTTCGTCGTTTTAAAACATTGGTACCATGAATGCTTAAGACGAAATTTTCTTTATATTGAAAAGTATTTTTTTCTCACCTCCATCACAATTCTCTCCTGTGGCAAACATCGTATACTGAGACAGATACTGGATCATAGTATTGCGGTCTAAGTGCTTCCTTTTGTAGAAGAAACATTCAGTGCTAAGCTGTGTTCCAAATTCGTCGTTGTGGTAGACCGCACCCACACACCAGTGAAAAGAACGACAAGCTTGTATACACTGGGCCGGAGATATTCCATGTTGGAAGTAGGAGAATTGAGTTTTGGGGAAGCGTCCCTTGATCACACACTCGACATCTGTGCAAACAAAAAAAGATATTTTTATTATTACATGTGAACATAAGGTGTGATTTACATAAGCATATCTTTTCTGAATGCGTGTTCGTCTTTTTTGAACAAAGAAGCACGTCTATTTTTGCGTTCAGAGAATAATAAGTTTATGAAATTGAAATAGTCGCACTTCGTCCATGTATCACGTGTATGACATACCTTTAGCTGTTGTCGTAATGGCAATGGTTGGTCTCTGCGTGGAGGGGGTGGATTTCGTGGTCTTCGTGGTTGTTGATGTGGTGGCGGCAGTGGACTTACTAGTGCTGGTTGTAGTTGTCGTTGTAGTACTTGCCGTTGTTGTCGGTAGGGTAGTTGTTGTCGTCGGTTGGGTTGTTGTTGTTGTCGGTTGGGTTGTTGTTGTCGGAAGGGTTGTTGTTGTTGTCGGTTGGGTTGTTGTTGTCGGAAGGGTTGCTGTTGTTGTCGGTTGGGTTGTTGTTGTCGGTTGGGTAGTTGTCGTTTTCGGCTTCAGCGCGAACTTACCATGGTCTGAAATGTTCATTTTGTTCTGTTTATTTTACGTTTCTGTTACAAATTTAGATCACATCTTCGCTTTTAACATTTTTCCAATACGAGTAATTTTGAAAGGTATGAACTGAACTGGGTGCGATGCAATAGTTTTCTTCTTCTCATTATCATTATTATTATTATTATTATTATCATTATTATTATTATTGAAAATATCTTATCAAAAGATTTAATCCTTTTTGAGTTACCCTTCATTACCAACTTATATATATATAATGCACGTGCTTACCTACACATGATTTTACATAAGACGTCCACCCACGACCGGAAGGTGGCGCTTTCGCCGCGGTATTTTTCATGGTTCCAAAAACTTCACAGCTACTGGTGACGTGTTCATATGACACGGCAAGACATTTAGGATTACCATAGCATTCTGCTTTACAACTCTCTATCGTAATTCCTACCAAAGACTTAGTCGGCACGGAAGGCAATATGTGGTTGTTTATCTGTATGGAGTTCCTGCAAGAAGCTGTAAGAAAAGAAGTTAAGGCTTTGTGAATAGTTGGCTTGTTGACCTTAAATAGAGGGCAATGCAGCGTTATAAAATTATCCGAAGACCAATCTTATTTTAAATGCCATTATGGATTGAGAGTCTCCATTATTATATTGTTAATTATAACGCAAAACTTGTCAGGACGGTTAAAATATTTTGTATATTTCTTCTCTTTGGCAGATTTAGGATTCGAGAGGGGACGACCAAAATTTTCAGCTACACCTCTTTTCGCTGCGACGATTATTTCGAAAATGGGTCAATTCGGAGCTTTCATGAAATTCTGACTGCCCAAAATATGGTTATGTGTGAGAAGGAACGGGGGACTGGCACCGCCACTTTGTTTTGAGAAGAGGGGATGGATCTTGCCGATATTCCGAATGGAAATAGTGTCGAGGAAGTACTATAGGCTTATTAAGTACCGACTGAAAAAAAGCCATACCTCTGAAGCAGTTCCCATTACTTGTGAAAAGCTTCCACTGAATAAGAAATTGTATCTCTGTATGTGGCGTGAAAAACTTCGCGTTGTAAAACAGACATTGAGTGCTCAACGCCTGGCCCCTCTCGTCATCATGATACGCCGCAGCAACACAGTCTTGATGAACACTACAAGCTGCTTTACAGTTGCTGGGAGATATGCCGTACACAGCGTTGAATTGCTGCGTTTTCGGATACCTGTTTTCTAGTACACATTCAACGTCCGGTTTTCCTTAGAGAAATAATGTACAAGAATCGATGAGATAGTTATGAGCGTTTTTTAAATAAATCAATATTTGGATGATATCTTTAAGAACAGGAATATTATACATGTAGAACGAAGTAACTTGGAAGTGGTGCACTTTGCAGCTGTTGGACTACTTCCCTTTTAGATTTTGGATTCAGTGTAATGTATCAAGACACAATAAAGCTTGACAAGTGTCAAATAAAAAAAATCTGTAGCAAAATGTACAATATTTCTTACCATTGAATGTTCTGATACCTAGTTCTGCAACAGTGAAAAAGCCATCTCGGATTTTCCCGTCAACGGTTGTCGATATTGCTGGCTTGGACGTTATAGGGGGCGATTTTGTGGAAGTGGTCGTAGAAGTGGTAGTCGTTGGACTGGTAGTCGTAGAACTGGTAGTCGTCGATGTGGTAGTCGTTGGACTGGGAGAAGTGGGTTGGGTAGTTGTCTTAATGGCTTTCTTGGTATCAGCGTTGCATCCTTCCCCACGGCAAAGACAGAGCACTTGGTCTCTGCTGTCAATTTTCTGGGGTCTACATCCGTCATAGTCCAGGTTTACTCCATATAGACTGCCGCTATGACTATAACAACCTTTATTGTGGACAGTGACTGAAAAACCAAACACATGAACTGATTAGTTTCAGATACACGAAGTATGTCTGACAAAATAGTACAAAATTTACTGCAAATAATATGAATATTATACTTGCTCTCTAGTAGGCCTATATCTTATCTTATGTTTCTCTGAATCCATTACTTTTCTAGATATGCGTTTCGTTTTAGACATTTAAATGTTTGGTGCACACGATTGGTTCTTGTGGTAAGTTACGATCTCCGACTGTGTATAACACGCCCTTTAAAGAATTACTGCATAGAAACATCATTTGTTATTACCTTCTTCTTTTTAACATCAAACCTTATGCTTTTTATTATTTACTATTTATTTACTTATTTTATTTATTAATTAATTAATTAATTATTATTATTATTATTTTGTGAAACAACGCTTCCAACATGCAAACTGTTGCTCCTACCTCTGTCTTCTTTCAATCTGGTGAAACATCTAAAACCAGTCTGACACTTCCCAGCTACGGCTGGATTGATCTTAATGTTCTCACACGTGGAGCCATAGCAGTCGTAACAAGACCATCCTGACACTGAAACGATGAAATACTGCATGTACTTACTGCAAAACTATGAATTTATCGTAACAAGGTGGTCTGGCATACAATATTGCAAACGGGAAGCGATATGGTACTTTCTCGGCATGACATACTGAGATAGGCCTACAATGACACACAGGTATAGTGAAATCCGTCATATCTTCCGTAGTGTACTGTACATATCGTGAAGCGAGCTAAGTAGAACAGTTAGTATTAGAATGAACATGATCTCGGCTTATAGAGATACTGCATGAATAAGATATGTCCGAACAATTAAACAAGTCCTTTTCCGTCTCTTCCCCCTCTAGGTCTCAATACAAGGATGGTTATTCGTGGTTATTATTTTATATTTAAAAATCGTCAATAAAATCATTCTAATCAAAAGACTTCCTCTTCGATGAACCCGTGAATGAACCCGTTGCTAAATGAATGAAAATTTATTTCTGTTAGGAAATGAATGATAAAAACTACATATGCAAAAGAATCAAATCAAATATGTTCGACTAATTGGAAAAAAATATTCAGCTGACCTTTCAATAAAATTTTCTAAACAGTTTGCACGCAAGAAAAATGTCTTCTTTTCCGGTAGACACAAATACGCACGTGTGAGGCCATGTGTCGAACTCATAGCTGAGAACTGGTTTGATGTCTCGATTAGTCTATTTTTCAAGTGTATTTTTGAAGAAAATAACGAAATTCTTACCTCTAGCGCAGCTCACCAAAAGAACGAGAAAAATGACTTTGAATAAACTTTCTCCCTGCATCACATCAAAATATCACTTGCTTTTATAATGAATTAAAACACTTTGATCTTGCGCACCTGCGTCCCACTATAATCTGACCATGACTTCCTCGAGATCCTAACAGGTGACAGGTTATCAGAGCCGAGAATGATATCATAATCAATATCTATAATTGGGCATAATTTTTATAAATGGGTTAGTCATCTGTATTGCAATGTGCAGTTTGGTGTGTTCGAAGTTGAGATAGCCGTGAACAGTGAACTAACATTACAAGTGCTATCAGTACATGATGCTTTGATAGGCCAACCAACTCTATAGCTTTAAACAGCAAGATTTTCTTTAAAAAATCTGTTAATTTTATCCAAAAAGTTAAATTTGAAGATCATTGCGACCCGCCCAAATGTGTGAAAATTGTAATTTATTGTGCAATATTTCTTACCAATTTGGCACAATTAGGCGAATTTCAAATACCTTATTTTAGATATATGTATGTGGCATGTTGACTGATGTAGCAGTGTAAGATAACTGTGTAATACCCGTGGGAAATGCCAGGTAGCACCTTGTTTTTCCGGTCTCTAGGCATTATATCACAGCACTTATATGTAAGATATATCCAGACTATTACTCTGTACAGGGCAGGCCAGCATAAAAAATAATAATCATATTCGTGAGAAAACTAATGAACAAAATCAATTCTATAAGCCGTTACATTTTAAATCTTAGAAAACGAACTAAATTTTCACACCTATATTTATGAAAAATCCACTAAATCTTCAATGATAAATATAATATTTCTGGTAATGCCTATTTAATCAACCGATGTGATTTATGACAAACTTAATGCCATATTTAGATTTTTTGCACTAGGACCTCTTCACACTGTTACCTGGCCTTGAGTCACGGATGCAAATAGGCTGGTCATAATCGTACAATGGATAGTTAATATAATGTGTTTGTGAAGACTTTCGGCCCCCATACTGCAACAGGGGGTTGTCTCACTCCACTGCATAAGCACATCCTGGGATCACAATCATTACTAGGACTGATACTCTTACCCCATTTAGAGGGTCCAATAGGGTTTTATTATCGCCGATGAAGGCCACTTTCATTTCCCCGAAATGCGCGAAAGGTTCATTTTATTGAGCGTGATACGTGAAGCACCCTATATCATTCCTATGACCGTAAATGCGTTTTTTTCCTCCGCCCTTCATAAGACGAATGCATTATACCAGCTGATTCATTTTTTCTAGATTTTCGACAAGCATTATCAGTGCCATATAAATAAAGTTTTATTTCCCGTGAACCATCCCCCCTTCAATGGGGATCCCCATTTATTTTTATTGGGATCCCCAGTTTTTGCAAAATTAGTCCAATACGTCAATATCATGCCTGAGAACTTTTTGCAGCCACGAAAATCCCATTTTAGAATCGGTATCAAATACGTACGTTAGTTCGGCGCCATGGCAAAACGTGACGTTCCCCCATCCTGCAGGGATGGACGTGCGGTTGAATACGTATAACCACATGGCCCATTGTAATTTCAGAAAAGACAAATCTTTGTAGTATAAAAGATATTCATGGCAACATGGACACAATTCTGTACAGAGCAAACCTAGCCTGGATATAAATGTAAGGACGATTACCTACATAATTACAGTACTCGGATTTTATTTTAAAAATATCTTTTATTTCTCTGTTTTTGAGGCAAACAATTTCTTCTTGAACGTTCATTTACCCCGTTGTTTCAACATTAGCAATTGTTCTCTTTTTCATGACCTTGCCCAAATTCTGTTCGATATCTCACTGCCCGATTAAGCCTGATTGCCTATCACAATAATCAATAAATCAGTGCTGCTATTGAAAAAAAGAAAAAAAAATAGATAGAAGTGTAAGCATTTGCTAAAGAAGCTATCGTTATCTGTGTTAGAAGGATATAAGTTGCATCACAATTCCAATAATAAATACTGAAACCAGAAGCTAATACTACATTGGGCTCCATTAAGAGAAACACAGTGAATAGTTGCTGAATAACTATTCAGTTAATTTATTTCAATAATATGAGTTTTCTTGGCCCCACCGGATCATGTATTTTATCCAACACCATGAAATCAAAGTACGTAAGCTACGGCAGATATGTAAGCAGAGACCCCCCTAACCTTACTGAATAGGTTTTCGGTTGAAGCATCCGGCAATTATGTTTAGAATGATGCTTGTTTTGGACAAGACCATTTGTGAATGTTGCTCCAATTCTAACTTCATATACGCCCCTCATATAATTGCTGGAGACAACAGTTACTTAAAGTTAAATCCGTTTCTTTCACTTCCTCCAGTTGAAGTTCCCTTGTCAACTCAAAAATTTTGGACTGAGTGGCATCTGGATAAACGGATCTGCCGGATGCTCCAGGATGCTGTTTACGGGGGCGGGGTCATCCCGCTACAGTCTAGCTCCTTGCAGCACTTCCCAGGGGCCGGCTTTTTGAGTTGGCATCCGGCCGGAACTGGAAGATTTGTCCAGTCAGGGCACCTGTATATAGACATAAAGAATCGGGTGCAGGCACGCTTTGTAGAATATAGGAACAGAAATCACCATAGTCACATATTGGACAATTCCCACTGAAACTGTCGTTCTACGTAAGTCGATCCAACTCCGTCGGGGCTCGATCTCTCTGAGTGTAATCAGATTCAGAGTCTCCATGGAATTGGATTGATCTACCTAGATAGATAATTCCATTGAGAATGCACCATATAGCTGTAGTTAAATTGATTAAATGAAAATACATCAAAAGGGAAAAGTTATAGAAAAACGTTTTACTTACGCCTTTTCGCAATACGTAAAATTGGTACCGAGGCAAATACAGGATTTAGTGCAGCCGAATATTATCCTCTCCCTTAACTTTAACAATACTCCATCCACCAAACACATGTCTACAAAGATAATGGTTCAATGACAATGTGCAAGAACTCGAACACGCACTGATGAAAAATGGATGATTGTAACCGGGGGGAGGGGGCATTTACATCCGACTATACCTTAAAAAGCAGACACCAAAGCAACCGTAAACAGTTGTAATCCTTCCAAATTTGCACTTCGTCATGCATAAAATTTAAAAACAGTGTGAAGAAAAGTTAAAAGCTGGATCGAAAAATGATAGTATTTTATTTCTGAATTTTAAACAACCACTAAAAACGGATGTTCACACAGATAGCATAGAATTACGTTTTACTTACTTGGAGGAGGAGTTCTTATTGTCGTTGTAGTACTTGCTGTTGTTGTCGGAAGGGTAGTTGTTGTTGTCGGTTGGGTTGTTGTTGTTGTTGTCGGTAAGGTAGTTAACGTTTTCGGCTTCAACGCTAACTTACCATGGTCTGAAATGTTCACTTTGTTCGCTTTTAACTTTTTTCCAATACGAGTAATTTTGAAATGTACTAAATGAACTGTGTGCGATGCAACAGTTTTCGTCTTCTCATTATTATTATTAAAAAAAATATTTAAACCAATGATTTAATCCTTTTTGAGTTACCCTACCAAGCCAACTTATATAATGCACGTGCTTACCTATACATGATTTTACATAAGACGTCCACCCACGACCGGAAGGTGGCGCTTTCGCCGCGGTATTTTTCATGGTTCCAAAAACTTCACAGCTACCGGTGGCGTGTTCATATGACACGGCAAGACATTTAGGATTACCATAGCACTCTGCTTTACAACTCTCTATCGTAATTCCTACCAAAGATTTAGTAGGTGCGGAAGGCAATATGTGGTTGTTTATCTGTATGGAGTTCCTGCAAGAAGCTGTAAGAAAAGAAGTTAAGGCTTTGTGAATAGATGACCTTATGTCGAGGGCAGTGCAGCTTTATAAAAATTATCTAAAGACCAGTTTTATTTTAATTGTCATTATGGATTGCTTATCACTATTATTATATTGTTTATTATAACGCGAAATTTGTCGGGACGGTTAAAATATTTCGTATATTTCTTCTCTCTGGCAGATTTAGGATTCGAGAGGGGGCGACTAAATTTTTCAGTCACACTTCTTTTCGCTGCGATGATTATTTCGAAAATGGTTCAATTCAGAGCTTTCAGGAAATTCTGACCGACCAAAATATGGTTATGTGTGAGAAGGACTGGCACCGCCACTTTGTTTTGAGAAGAGGGGATGGATCTTGCCGATATTCCGAATGTTAATATTGTAGAGGGAGTACTATAGGCTTATCAAGTACCAACTGAAAAAAAGCCATACCTCTGAAGCAGTTCCCATTACTTGTGAAAAGCTTCCACTGAAGAAGAAATTGTATCTCTGTATCTGGCGTGAAAAACTTTGTGTTGTAAAACAGACATTGAGTGCTCAACGCCTGGACCCTCTCGTCATCATAATACGCCGCAGCAACACAGCCTTGAAGAACCCCACAAACCGCCTTACAGTCACTGGGAGATATGCCGTACATAGCTTGGAAGTGTTGCGTTTTCGGATACCTGTTTTCTATTACACATTCAACGTCTGGTTTTCCTTTAAGATATAATGTAAAGTATGCCTTAGAATCTATAAGCTAGTTTAGAGTTTTTATATGTTAATAAATCAATATTTGAATGATATCTTTAAGAACAGGAATATTACAGAACGAAGTATGGTATTGTTGTTAGTGTTCAGTGTATTTTCTCTGGTGATGTTGTATGAGTGTGTTTGTTGTGCTGTGTTGTGCTGTCCAAAACAACTTGGAAGCTGCACTTTGCAGCTATTGGACCACTTCCCTTTTTGTTGTTGGATTCAGTGTAATATATCGAGACAAAATATAGCTTGACAAGTGTCAAATTTAAATTCTTTTTATATCAAGATGGACAAAATGTCTTACCGTTAAAAGTTGTGATACCAAGTTCTGCAACAGTGAAAAAGCCATCACTGGTTGTCGATATCGCTGGCTTGGACGTTATTGGGGGCGATTTTGTGGAAGTGGTCGCAGAACTGGTAGTCGTTGAACTGGTAGTTGTTGGACTGGTAGTTGTTGGACTGGGGGTTGTGGGTTGGGTTGTTGTCTTAATGGCTTTTTTGGTGTCAGCGTTGCATCCTTCCCCACGACAAAGACAGAGTACTTGGTCTCTGCTGTTTAATATCTGGGGTCTACATCCATCATAGTCCAGGTTTACTCCATATAGACTGTCATTATGACTATAGCAACCTTTATTGTGGACAGTAACTGAAAAACCAAACACATGAACGAATTAGTTTCAGATTCAAGAAGTATGCCTGACTCCCCCCCCCAAAAAAAAAATAATAAAATAAATAAATAAATAAATAAATAAATAAATAAAAATGGGGAAATTAAAATAAAGAATTTATTGCAAATAGTGTAAATAAACATTTGTCTGTATTTACCCCATTTCTAGTTATGCGTTTCGTTTTAGACACTTAAGTGTTGTGCTATACATGTTTTGATTCTTGAAGTCAGTTAAAGGTCTCCCATATTGAGCCCAATATAAAAATACTGGATAGAAACATCACTTCTATAAAAGAGTTTTTAATGGATAAGGAGTGTTTAGCCTTCACATATTCTACTTTAAAAGCCTCTAACATGTAAATCAAACCGTACCTCCATCTGCTTTCAATCTGGTGAAACATTTAAAACCAGTATGACATCTGGTGACTACGGCTGGCTTGGTCTTAATGTTCGCACATGTGGAGCCGTAGCAGTCATAGCACGACCATCCTGACACTGAAACCATGAAATACTACTGTAACTGTTGAGATATCGAAGTTGCCATAACAAGATGGTCTGGCATACAATGCTGCAAAACGGGAAGCGATATGGTACTTTCTCGGCATGGCAAACTAACATACAACGATACACAGAGTTAAGAAAATTCATAAAAACAACCTTGGCGTGACACGACGTTTTGCTGTATATAGAGTAAAACTAACTAACTAGAACAGATAGTGTTAAAATAAAAATGACCTGGGCTTATAGAGATAGGCCTACATGTAATACATGTACAAGTGGTAGCCTTACTTATTTATTTTAAAGTCCTTTACCTTCTAGGTCCCAAAATATATGGCCGGTAATTCGTTAGTGATATTTATATTTAAAAATCGGCGATAAAATCATAGAATTTCCAATTAAAAGATTACCTCTTTCAATGAACACGCGAAGGCTTATTGCTATCATTGTACAATTGGAGTGAAAAGACACTTGGTTCCACAATGAATGAAAAATGCTCTTTGTTTGAGAGTGAATGAATGAAAAACTATATGTACAACATAAAAACCAAATCAAAATTATTCGACCAATTGTAAAAAATTATAAAGATTCATCAGTTTTCTAACCCGAGATAATTCGCTCGAAATCTGTCTTCCTTTTCAACAAAAAATTGCAAATAATTTTCACACAAGAAAAAAGGTCTTCTATCCCCGTAGACACGTGTGCGCACTCATAGCTGGGGACTGGTTTGATGTCTCGATTAGTCTCGAAAGTGCAGTTTTGAAGAAAATAACGAAATTCTTACCTTTAGCACAGCTCACCAAAAGAAGGAGAAAAATGACTGGGAATAAACTTTCTCCCTGCATCACATCAAAACATCACTTGCTTTTATAATGAATTAAAACACTTTAAACCTGAGCACCTGCGTTCCACCTTAATCTGACCATGACTTCCTCCAGATCCTAACAGGTGACAGGTTATCAGAGCCGAGAATGATACTATAATCAATACCTATAATTGGGTAATTTTTTTATAAATCGGTTAGCCATCTGTCAAGGAAGAAGTATTGAAATCTGCAGCTTTTCAAAGACACGAAAACTAAGCTGATGTATTCAAAGTAAGATAGCCATTGACAGTAAACTGACATTTCAAATACTATCAATACATGACGAAATGTTCGTCCCATCTTCTGCGTTACAATATACAGCAAGCTTTTCTTTTTAAAATCTGTTAATTTTATCCAAAAAGACAGATTTAAAGATCACTGCCCCAATTAATTGTGCAATATTTTCTAACAGTTCTTATGCATGTACAAGCAGAGGTATTTCAAATACTTTATTTTAGATATACTGTATGTATGATGTCCTGTTAGTGGCATGTTGACTGATGTAGCAGTGTAAGATAACTGTGTAATACCCGTGGGAAATGCCAGGTAGCACCTTGTTTTCCCGGTCACTGGGGGTGATGTCAAAGCAGAAATATATATATATATTATGTAAAAGTCCAATAATATATAATATGTAATATAACCAGACTATTACATAATAACACATAACAGCATTGTTAAGAATCAAACCTAATCAGCTTTGTGAGAAAACGAATGAACAACCTCAGTGATAAATGTTTGTTTCTGTTTCTTTTTTCATCTAAGAAAACGGATTGGATTTTTACACCTAGATTTATGAAAATCAACTAAATCGCCAATATTAAATACATTTTTGAAATAAAGCCCATTTATTTAACTAATGTAGAATAAAACAAACTTAATGCCTTATTCAGATTTTTCACACTGTTACTTTGTTTTAAGTCACGGGTTTAAACAGGTAGATCTTAATGGTAGAATGTTGTTCATAAAGTGTGTTTGTGAAGGTTTTCGGGCCCTCTACTGCAATATACTCTGGTTAGTACCGTCAAACTATCAACAGCGGGCTGTCTCACTCCACTGCATTAACACATCATAGGATCACAATCATTACTAGAACTGCTACTCTTACTACTACTCCGAAAGTACAAATTAATGCGTTCGATAAAGCGATTACATGCAGTATTTATTACAACGAAATGAAATAGAAAGACCATCCAAGACACATACTACACGCACTAGTATACCTGGAATAACTCAAATGCCATCGTCAGTATCCAATTTTGTTCCAGAAATCGCATTGCTTTGGCTTCCAGTTATTCATGACCGGACAATTTGGCACGTTAAACTGCAGTACGCTTAAGTTGGTGGCCATGTTATATTGAGGCCACCCGTCATCACGCGTTCTGGAACTTAATACTAATGGGGGGATACTTTTATTAGGATTCCCAGTTTTAGCAAAATTAGTCCAATATGTCAACATCGTGGTTGACAACTTTTGGTCACCAGGTGGCCACGAGAATCCCATTTTAGAAACTGTGTCAAATACGTACGTTAGTTCGGCGCCATGGCATACGTGCCAATAGCAAAACGTGACGTTCCCCCATCCTGCAGGGCTGGACGTGCGATTGAATACATATAACCACACAGGCTCAGAACCCGGGGAATTGCTGTGGCTTATGCTTTCTACGGCCGCCTTAGTTGCACAGCCAAATAAATAGTCCGTGGCCAATGTGACAAGCCTNACAGGTACTGGATCTCAGTATTGCGATTTAAGTACTTCCTATTGTAGAAGAAACATTCAGTGCTAAGCAGTGTTCCAAATTCGTTGTTGTGGTAGACCGCACCCACACACCAGTGAAAAGAACGACAAGCTTGTATACACTGGGCCGGAGATATCCCACCTTGTTGGAAGTAGGAGAATTGAGTTTTTGGAAAGCGTCCCTTGATCACACACTCGACATCTGATACATATAATAAAAAAAAGAAAAAAACGATATTCTTACTGGTTCATGTGAACATAAAGTGTGATTTACAAAACCATATTTTGTTTGAGTGTAGTCTTCTGTAGAACAGTTTCATTAGTTTATGTTATTGCAATAGACTTGTGAAGATTCTTTTGTCTATAGCTACTTATATTTGTCTGAACTTACCATCGAAAAAAAAAAGATTTTCATGTGATACTTTTTCATGTGAACATGAAGTGTGATTTACATAACCATATTTTGTTTGAGTGTAGTCTTCTTTTTTACTTTCTTGCTTTCGTTTGGAAAAGTTTTGAAATTCAGATAGGCTTACCTATTCCATGTATCACGTGTATGACATACCTTTCCCTGTTGTCGTAATGGCAATGGTTGTTGTTGTAGGAGTAGTTGTTGTCGTCGGTAGGGTAGTTGTTGTTGTCGGTTGGGTTGTTGTTGTTGTCGTTGTTGTCGGTAGGGTAGTTGTTGTTTTCGGCTTCAGCGCGAATTTACCATGGTCTGAAATGTAATTTTTGCTCTGTTTACTTCAGTTTTCTGTCACAAATTTGGATATCTTAGCATATCTTAGTTTTTAACATTTTCCAAAACCGAACAATTCTGAAATACACAAACTGACCTGTTTCTCTTCTTCATTTTCATTATTATTGAAAATATTTGAATAGTGAATTAATCCTTTTTGAGATATCCTATCTTACCAACCTATAATGCACGTGCTTACCTACACATGATTTTACATAAGACGTCCACCCACGGCCGGAAGGTGGCGCTTTCGCCGCGGTATTTTTCGTGGTTCCAAAAACTTCACAGCTACCGGTGACGTGTTCATATGACACGGCAAGACATTTAGGATTACCATAGCATTCTGCTTTACAACTCTCTATCGTAATTCCTACCAAAGACTTAATCGGCACAGAAGGCAAAATGTGGTTGTTTATCTGTACGGAGTTCTTGCAAGAATCTGTAAGAAAAGGAGTTATTACCTTGTGATTAGTTGGCTTGTTGAGCTTATTTCGAGGGCAGTTTAGTGTTATAAAATTACCCGAAGACCAATTTTTTATTTTAAATGCAACTACGGTGATCTGAAGATTGGTTGCCACCATTATTATATTGTTAATTCTATCATACACATATAAATTTGTCAGGGCGGTTAAAATATTTTTTTAAATATTTTTTCTAACACTGGCGGATTAAGGATTTGAGAGGGAGTGGCTTTATTGTTCATCTGTATTCGCTGTTATAATTGTTTCGAAAAATGATGCGATTAAAAGCTTTCATGAAATTTTGACTGAACAAAATATGGTCATATGTGATAAAGGAACCGGGTTTAACACCGCCATTTGGTTTTGAGAAGAGGGATCTTGCCGATATTCCGAATGGAAATATTGTCGAGGAAGTACTATAGGCTTCTTAAGTACCAGCTGAAAAGCGGCCGCTACCAGCCAAATTTCGAACACTATATCTGTGTTTGTCATTTACTTATCCTTTGGCTTGGGTTAATGTTTAAGTTTAGTTTAGTTTAGTTTAGTTTAGTTTAGTTTAGTTTAGTTTATTTCACTGTAACATATGCATCCACTTGTGTGGATGAAAATGACAATATGGATACAATTTTTGTGAATATGCTATTAATGAGGAGACATAAAAAGCAATACCTCTGAAGCAGTTCCCATTACTTGTGAAAAGCTTCCACTGAAGAAGAAATTGTATCTCTGTATCTGGCGTGAAAAACTTCGCGTTGTAAAACAGACATTGAGTGCTCAACGCCTGGCCCCTCTCGTCATCATGATACGCCGCAGCAACACAGCCTTGAAGAACGCTACAAGCCGCTTTACAGTCACTGTGAGATATGCCGTACACAGCGTGGAAGTGTTGCGTTTTCGGATACCTGTTTTCTAGTACACATTCAACGTCTGGTTTTCCTTTAAGATATAATGTACCGTATGCTTGAGAATCGATAAGCTAGTTTAGAGTTTTTAAAATCAATATTTGAATGATATCTTTAAGAATAGGAATATTACAGAACGAAGTTACTTGGAAGTGGTGCACTTTGCAGCAATTGAAAAACTTCCCTTTTTGATGTTGGATTCAGTGTAATGTATCGAGACACATTATAGCTTGACAGGTGCCAAATTTAAATTCATTTCATATCAAGATGGACATAAGTTCTTACCGTTGAATGTTGTGATACCAAGTTCTGCAACAGTGAAAAAGCCATCATTGGTTGTCGATATCGCTGGCTTGGACGTTATAGGGGGCGATTTTGTGGAAATGGTCGTAGAACTGGTAGTTGTTGAACTGGTAGTTGTTGGACTGGGGGTTGTGGGTTGGGTTGTTGTCTTAATGGCTTTTTTGGTGTCAGCGTTGCATAATTCCCCACGGCAAAGACAGAGTACTTGGTCACTGCCGTACATTTTCTGGAGTCTACATCCGTCATAGTCCAGGTTAACCCCATATAGACTGCCGCTATGACTATAGCAACCTTTATTGTGGACAGTGACTGAAAGCCATATACGTAACCAAATTATCTTCAGACATAAGAAGTGTGCCTGCCCCCCCCCCCCCCCCTCCAGAAAAAAATTGAGAAAATTGAAATAAAGAATTTATTGCAAATAGTGTAAATAAATTTAGAATTAAACTGGTTCTAACATTAATCTTTTTGCACCCCATTTCTATTTATGTTTTTCGTTTTAGACACTTGAGTGTTGTGCTAAACATGTTTTGATTCTTGAAGTAAGTTAAAATATATAAAATATATAAAATATATCCAATATAAAAAGACCACTTTAATAAAAAAAAAGCTTTAATGGATAAGGAGTGTTTAGCCTTCACGTATTCTACTTAAAACGCCTCAAACATGCAAATCAAACCGTACCTCCGTCCGCTTTCAATCTGGTGAAACATCTAAAACCAGTCTGACACATCCCAAATACCGCTGGATTGGTCTTCATGTTCTCACATGTGGAGCCATAGCAGTCGTAACACGACCAACCTGACACTGAAACGATGAGATGATACCCTAAGTGGACAGATATTGAAGCTGACATAACAAGATGGTTTGGCATGCAATGTTGCACAAAGTGAAGCGATATGGTACTTTCTCGGCATGGGAAACTAACACACAATGGTACACAGAGTTAAGAAAATTCATAAAAACAACATTGGCGTGACTTGACGTTTTGCTGTATATAGAGTAAAACTAACTAACTAGAACAGTTAGTATTAGAATGAAAATGATCTGGGCTTATAGAGATACATGTAATACATGTACAAGTGGTATAGCCTTACATTTATTTAAAAGTTCTTTTCACCCCCCTTAACATCTAGGTCCCAACATACTGTATATGGCTGGTAATTCGTTAGTGATAATTATATTTGAAAATCGGCAATAAAATCATAGAATTTCCAATTAAAAGAATACGCCTTTCAATGAACACGCGAAGGCTTATTGCTACCATAACAATACAATTGGAGTGAAAAGACACTTGCTTCCACAATGAATGAAAAATGCTCTTTGTTTGAGAGTGTACTATATGTACAAAATAAAATCGAATCAAAATTATACGACCGATTGTAAAAAAAATATTCAGATTCATCAGTTTTCTAACCCGAGATATTACGCTCGAAATATGTCTTCCCTTTCAATAAAAATTTGAAAATAATTTTCACACAAGAAAAAGGTCTTTTATCCCCGTAGACACAAATACACACGCGTGAGGCAATGTGTCGAACTCATAGCTGGAAACTGGTTCGATGTCTCGATTAGTCTCGAAAGTGTATTTTGAAGCAAATTACGAAATTCTTACCTTTAGCACAGCTCACCAAAAGAACGAGAAAAATGACTGGGAATAAACTTTCTCCCTGCATCACATCAAAATATCACTTGCTTTTATAATGAATAAAAACACTTTAAACCTGAACACCTGTGTCCCACTATAATCTGACCATGACTTCCTCCAGATCCTAACAGGTGACAGGTTATCAGAGCCGAGAATGATATCATAATCAATATCTATAATTGGGTAAATTTTTTATTAATCGGTTAGTCGACTGTCAAGGAAGAAGTATTGAAATCTGCAGCTTTTCAAAGACACGCAAACTAAGCTGATGTATTCAAAGTAAGATAGCCATTAACAGTAAACTGACATTTCAAATACTATCAATACATGACGAAATGTTCGTCCCATCTTCTGCGTTACATTATACAGCAAGCTTTTCTTTTTAAAATCTGTTAATTTTATCCAAAAAGACAGATTTAAAAATCACTGCCCCAATTAATTGTGCAATATTTTCTAACAGTTCTTATGCATGTAAAAGCAGAGGTATTTCAAATACCTTATTTTAGATATACTGTATGTATGATGTCCTGTTAATGGCATGTTGACTGATGTAGCAGTGTAAGATAACTGTGTAATACCCGTGGGAAATGCCAGGTAGCACCTTGTTTTCCCGGTCACTGGGGGTGATGTCAAAGCAGTAATATATATATATATTATGTAATAGTCCAATAATATATAATATGTAATATAACCAGACTATTACATAATAACACATAACAGCATTGTTAAGAATCAAACCTAATTAGCTAAGTGAGAAAACGAATGAACAACTTCAGTAATAAAGGTTTGTTTCTGTTTCTTTTTTCATCTAAGAAAACGGATTGGATGTTTACACCTAGATTTATGAAAATCAACTAAATCGTCAATATTAAATACATTTTTGAAATAAAGCCCATTTATTTAACTAATGTAGAATAAAACAAACTTAATGCCTTATTCAGATTTTTCACACTGTTACTTTGTTTTAAGTCACGGGTTTAAACAGGTAGATCTTAATGGTAGAATGTTGTTCATAAAGTGTGTTTGTGAAGGTTTTTGGGCCCTCTACTGCAATGTACTCTGGTTAGTACCGTCAAACTATCAACAGCGGGCTGTCTCACTCCACTGCATTAACACATCATTGGATCACAATCATTACTAGAACTGCTACTCTTACTACTACTCTTACCGCAATGTCGTTCTTATCCGAAAGTACAAATAAATGCGTTCGATAAAGCGATTACATGCAGTATTCATTACAACAAAATGAAATAGAAAGACCATCCAAGACACATACTACACGCACTAGTATACCTGGAATAACTCAAATGCCATCGTCAGTATCCAATTTTGTTCCAGAAATCGCATTTCTTTGGCTTCCAGTTATTAATGACCGGACAATTTGGCACGTTAAACTGCAGTACGCTTAAGTTGGTGGCCATGTTATATTGAGGCCAACCGTCATCAAGCGTTCTGGAACTTAATACTAATGGGGGGATACTTTTATTAGGATTCCCGGTTTTAGCAAAATTAGTCCAATATGTCAGCATCGTGCTTGACAATTTTTGGTCACCAGGTGGCCACGAGAATCCCATTTTAGAAACTGTGTCAAATACGTACGTTAGTTCAGCGCCATGGCATACGTGCCAATAGCAAAACGTGACGTTCCCCCATCCTGCAGGGCTGGTCGTGCGATTGAATACGTATAACCACACAGGCTCAGCGCCTGGGGAAGTGCTGTGGCTTATGCTTTCTACGGCCGCCTTAGTTGCACAGCCAAATAAATAGTCTGTGGCCAATGTGACAAGTCTAGGTTTTTGGTCGTCCGTGGGTAATGGTGGGTACATGTAAAAAACTTCAGCCGCATGTTCAGGAAAAGTGGCCAAAAGCACCGCCTTATATTCTAGAACTGTTAAGGTCCGGTTCCAAACATCGCAGACAAAACCTTGGGCTTCTTCGCTGGTAAAACCCATCATAACTGGCTTTCTCTGATAGTTCCCTGTTAAAAAAGCTTGTATAGGTTGTACCAAAACTTCCTTGCCGTCAACGTAGGGGCCCCATGGTTCAAACAATTCGAGAAGCTGTAGTGAAGCCACGCTCTCTGCTACCTTTACGGCGGCCCAGGCGACCTGATCGGCGGACGCGTTACGAAGACAGGCCATATGCTCTCGCAGGCAACCCAGAGCGTCGGCAAGATAGTCTCCGAGTAGTTTGGCAGCACCGTAGTTCTTGAATGGGAGAGCAAACGGGGCGCTTTCGACGATGGCGCGTTTGAAGAGAGCGTTGCTCTTCTCCGAGGTAAAGTGAAGTGCCACCGACTGTCCACCTGCACTCTGTCCGAATAGGGTTACCTAGAATGTCATCATTAAGTGTGCATTGCATTACATACGGGGTTTCTTATGTACAAGGAAACACTTGAATTTAACATGTATTCATTTTCAATTGACAATGAATTTAGGTTAACTGCTAAACTGCATGCAGATATAATTGTGTTCATAGATAGCAAAATGTTGAATATGTTGAATTTCTATGTCTTTGATCATATGAGTTCTGCTTAAGTACCTACTTTCCTGGAATACATTTTATGTTTTGTTTAATTTTGAAATCTTGGTACAATTAATATATCTACCTCATCAGGATTCCCGCCAAAGTTTTTAATATTTTTCTGCACCCATGTCATGGCGAGGCGCTGGTCCATGATGCCATAGTTCCCCTGTGCTGAGTCACTTTGCTTTCCTGTTACCAAAAATCCTAGAGCACCTGGGATGAAAAGAAGCAAAAATCAAACACGTACATAACAAATATTCACGTGTACAATAGTGTTCTACATGCAAATCAAATTTACCCTTTGTGTTACTACTTGTATGTTAATTTTTTCAGAATAATTTATATTACATCGTGAAATCTTAGATTTTTTACTTTTACTTTTAATGACTCTTCCTGTAGTAAAACTTGCATGAGTTGAGTTAAAAATGACCATCTATCTAGCTAGTCAACTGAGCTGAGTTGAGTTGAAAATGACCATCTATCTAGCTAGAGACATATCTGTGAATATCTGTAAAAAATCTATCACTCACCCTGGTAGAAGGTACATTATACATATCTATCTATAGTTTTACAATTATAAATAAAATTCTTTAATGGATTTCAGACTTTAAATAAATATATTACAAATACACGTATATTTTATTATCTATATTACTATCTATAAATATATTATTTTTAACGTATATTATTATTATTATCAATGTTATTACATGCAGTGACAAACATTGTATAATGTGTACCAGTAATCTTACCGAGGCGGTAGTTAAAGTTAACGACAACCACGTTCCCCTGACTGGCCATAAACTCTCCGTCCCAGTTGGGGGAGGCCCCGCTCAGGATGGTGAACTGGCCCCCGTGAATGAATACCATCACAGACAGGTGGGCAAGGTTGGTGGCGTTCAGAGGTGTGAACACGTTCAGGAATAGACAGTCCTCAGACGTCTGAAGAAAGACAGGAAAGGTAGCAACGCGTTTGAGTTGTATGGCGTTTTAATATAATTTTAATATGACGTCGTTTTGTCATTTTTTATAGTAAAAGGATGCATAGCTAGAAAAGTGTTATTTTTCAGGAAACTATTGACACAGGTGCATAGGATCAGTGTTAATAATAATAATAATAATAATAATAATAATAATAATAATAATAATGCACCCTGTTTCAATAACATGAAACGACATTTTTACAAATGAAAAAATCTAGGTTTATATGAAAATTAAATAATTATTATTAGAAATAAACCCGGTCACAATTAGAGAAAACAATCATATATTGTTTATTAATTCAAATTAGGCAAATGAAAGTGCTCAGCGTCCTCCTGTCCTCACCACATTGATGCAACCCCTGGGTGGCGTGTACCACGTGCAGCCCACCTGGGGGCATGCGGGGGGTAGCGTGATCCCCAGCAGCGTCCTCCCCGTGGAGCCCCAGGGTGATTTAGGGACCGGCGGCTTCCATCTGCAAAATTATTATAGTCACCATTATTTGAAGAGGGTGGGGGAGTTGGTTTCTTTAGGAATGACCGGCATTGGATTCGGATCCGACCCTCGCTCCCTTGGCATGGGGTTCGGGGGCCTTTCAAGGGCCCCGGTAACTTTTGGTGTTTGGAGGGCAAACGGTGCAATTTGGCACGGTTTAGAATTATGCTTCAGCTAGACGTTATTTGGTGTAATTTGTTCAAGGACCCTCCGGCCCGCTGGCCCTCCTGAACCCCTAAATCGACAACTGACCATGTATATCAGTTCTTAATTAGTGCCAAAGCACCATTCACTTTAAGTGCTCCCCAGTTTAGCATTGTATTACAAGTCAAATCATCTCTTCGTGATAACATAATTTACCTTGTTATGAAATCAAATACTTATCTGGTATCATCAGTGTGATGTGCATTGTTAACATATAACTTAGATTTAACACTTTGCACTTAATCTCACTCGGCTTAATTTGGTCAGCTATTTCTTAAAATGTGCTTATTCCCCAAAAATCATTTCGCTCAGGAGTAAGTGAAATTTATTTTGCTTTTTAAAAGGATGGATTGGCAACGATTCTTTAAACACCCTCGTCGTCATGATAAATGAGAAATAAACTACGCCTTCTATAAAGCTGACTCTTAGATTGATACTACCTCCATATCGATGAGAAAACGGGACCACGCCGCCTGAAGTAGGTTACAAACTGATTACATATCTTGTTAACATGTACCTATATTCAGATTTAGGCATGGTATAATCTGAAGAAAGAAATAACAAATGTTCATGCTCTTTTCCTTAACATGCATGTCTTTCAACCCACCTCAAACTCCCCACCGGAGGCTCTGCATACGGAATGCCATAAAAGATGTTTGCAGATCCACGATAAATACCCTGTACGGGCCCCTGGGCAGTGACCACCACGGGGCCTTGGCCCTTACTGACGTCACTTGATGCCACAAAACGTAATGCTCGTGCACCAGAAGGCGAGTGCACAAGTTCCAGAGCCAGGAAAATGAAGAATAAATACGTTTGCTGCATATTGAGACAGCGCAGGATGATCTTCTTATGCTACAAATTCCATCCCAGGACAGACGTCTGTCCCTGTTCCATCCAACGTTTAGACAGTGGACTTCAACTCTTACGAGTTGACTCTATCTATTTACACGCTGGGCACGGAAGATACAGTAGGCCTACAGCGTGATATAATTTTGTCGAACAATAGGCCAAAGTTGACATTTTAGTTCTATCATTGACATTTATGATACTCCAAATTTTCAACTTGATTGCAAATTCCGGAAGTCATCAATATATTATTATTATTATTATTATTATTATTATTATTATTATTATTATTATTATTATAATACATATCAATACATATCTAGCACCTACAAGATCGAGCTGCTGTTGACAATAATAATAATAATAATAATAATAATAATAATAATAATAATAATAATAATCGTTTCATGTAACAATATATAGCACATTTACCGATTGTGCATCTTTGAACCTCACAGTTCATTCACCTGGTTACGACATCGACTGATGGGCTGGAAACTTTATCTCTGACCTATAATCTACATTGTCATCTTCTGGTTGACGTGATTTCTAATAACACAAACATCACACGATCACCAACGTGGGGGATTTACAGATAAGAGACTAAAAGGTGTTGTCAGGCAAGGAAGGTTCACGGAAGGTTTATTTTTAATCACACATTTGGTCAGAAAAAAAGCCCCTTTTGAATCAAAATTTGATCAAGGTGCTATGTCGTTTTTTTTTTAGGAAACAGCCTATTGGTGTAAAAAAAAAAAAGAAAAAAGGATCTCCTTGGAAATTTCTGGCAACAAGTCTTTGTGCGGTCAGTGTGCTATGACATAGACTTAAAAGACATAAAACGCAGTTTTACATTTATTAAAACATTATTTTATTATCTATTATATTCTGAGTATCATAATTAAAGCCTACTGACACTATCTTTCGGTGTTATTGATGCCATATAATCGCTTAAAATGTCAATTTTTTAGTCATTTTCAATATCCAATACCATCCCAAAAGTCACACAACTTCGTTTTAAAGTCATACATTACAGAACCCATTGGAGCTTTGAACTCCAGGACGCTGAAGTTCGTCTGGGAATGAAAAGGCGGCCAATATTTGTCATAAAATTTCATTCTGGTGACTCCATCGTTGAACCCTTGTCTTGGATTGGCGCCGGCCGGGTACAGAGTGTTGGGATTGCCCGTCCTTGCGAAATTAGCCCAGTACTTTTGCATAGCATGGGAGAGTTTTTGTTCCTCTTTTGATAATTCAAAGCCCTTATTATTACCTGGATTAAACACAAAAGGAAGTTCCGAACCATGGCACACATGGCCGTAACAGTACGTGATGTTGGACCAGAATCTAGGTGCGACGGTTTGATTAAAGACGTACATCCATATATATGGGAATAAAAACGATCTTCTTGCAATGGCTTTCGCGGCAGCTCTTGTTGGGCAGATGAATGCATAATCTGTAGAGATATTGACAAACGCAGGGCGTTGGTCTCCTGAACTTACAATAGGGTACGTAGAAAGTACGGACCTTATGTGAACTGGGAAAGTAGCCAGTAAAATTGCTCGATATTCAGTCTCGCTTACATTGTGTAGAAACCCGGCATATACAAATGACTGAGCCTCTTGCGTTGTAACGCCCATCATGATAGGTTTGCGTTGAAAGTTCCCGGACATAAAGGCGTCAAGCGGTTGGTCCTTCACTTCCACGCCATCTATGAAGGGTCCCCACTGCTCAAAAAATTCTAGAACTTGGAGCGACGCTACCTTCACCGAGACGACATTTTCGGCGGTCACGAGCGCGTCAGCAGAAGCGTTCCGAAGACAGTTTACGACGTCATGTTGACAACCAAGCGCTTGAATCAAGTACTTGCCTAAACGCTTCGCTTCAGAATGGGACTTGAAGTGGATAGCAAACGGGGAACTCTCCACAATGGCGCGTCGGAACAAAGAGGAGCTCTTGGCAGATGTCATGTGAAGAGCCACGGATTGGGCTCCGGCACTTTGGCCAAATATTGTTACCTGTGTGTGTGATTGGTTTTCAAAAGAAAACAGAAAGCCTTAGTTAATATTTCAAATAGGTAATGACCATCTGGTTTATGTAAATCGAATCGTAAATATTTCAAATGCTAATCAATGTGACTTTGTAACTCATAGGCCTATATTAGTAAATCTATTTTGTTTTACATCATTCAAGAGGTGCATGACATCTGGGAACACCAACCTCATCAGGGTTACCGCCAAAATTTCTGATGTTCCTTTGGACCCATGCCAAAGCGAAACGCTGGTCCATCACTCCGTAGTTGCCTTGGGGTGCGTCGGGTCCCTCATCAGCGAACAGAAACCCCAGGGCTCCTTCATGTGAGAACAGATACATGATGATAGCTTTTGTATCATTCTACACATCGCTTTTTATTCCAGGAAGTTTTTTTAACGAACAGACCGTGCCTCTAACGTATATAATATTTTTTCATAAGTAAATTATTTTAAATGAAATTTTATGAAAAACTGAAATTATCTCGGCGAACTTGCGTATAGAATCGAAAATAGATAAATAAATTGAAAATAATGAAAACTAGTTGCCTAATCTATAATTGATGGTGACCACCACAACGTTTTCCATGCTGGCTAGTGTCTCGCCGTTCCATAAGGGGGAGCCACCGCTCATTGTCGTAAACTGCCCGCCGTGAATAAAAAACATTACCGGGAGATTGGAGAAGTATGATGCTCCACTGGGCGTGAATATGTTGAGAGTAAGGCAGTCCTCTGATGTCTGAAATGATGAAAAAAAAATTTGTTAAAAAGATTTAAAAACAAACTATAAATATTTTTAAATTAAAATGTTTAGTTGGGGCATAGAGGCCTTAAAAATAGGTTTGCGGTATGAGGATGAATAAACACAACGCAAAAACAGAAAGTGACACATATTCCCATTGTTTAGAAATAACAAAACTAAGATGAGATTCAGATACACTCTAGAAGTCCATGTGCAAAAACGATGCATATTTGTTCAACTTTTCTAAAGGAGTGGCAAACTCGATCAAAAGTTCTATGATCAACCTACTGAATCCGTCCAAAATTTCATCTCCCAATGGCAGAATGACATACCCTTGCCCAGTAATAAGAATAAAATTAGATTTTTAATGGACAGAAATAAATAATGCATAAGTTGTTCTACCTTATTGACGCAGATAAACGGCGGACTGTGCCACAAACAAGACGTCTGCGGACACGCGGGGGGTACGACATCAGCAAGCAGCGTTTTCCCTGATGCATGCCAAGATGATTTGAATTGTGGAGGGCGCCATCTTTTTAATTCACAAAACAGACGAAATATATTTTGAAATTTACTTGATGAAGTTTTTTAATATCCTACCATGACATTTATGTGTCTACATAATAAATGATAAAAATTATCAGTGATGTCTGAAAGTCAAGCCAATTTAAGCAGATATGCGTTTAAACTTTATCCTATCAGCCTTAATTTCTTTATCGTCTCTAAAGTAACTACTCCAATGTATTGTATTCAAGCTTTTGTTCATGCATGTTTTAAGGTACATTTTACACTTGTTTTCTGCATACGTGACCAATGAAGAAAAAAGTAGTACACAAAATTAGGTTTTGAAATTCTCATCATACTGAACATACAATGAACAGAACCCCTGTTTCACCTTAAATTTCCCACAGGAGGCTCGGCGAAGGGGATGCCGTAGAATACCTTGGACGCACCGCGGTATATCCCCTGTAAAGGCCCCTCTGTTGTCACTACCACGGGGCCTTTAGGCTTCTCATCATTTTTTGTAAAAGTGAACCTCAAAGTTGGCCTCGGATTTCTAACACTGACCAAATGATCAATGTTTACAATCAAGGCGCAGAGAAAAAGATAACGGCTCGTCTTTTGCATCTTAGCAAACTTTAACACTTTGCCTATACTATTAGTGTGCCTCCCTCTCTCTCGATTTGAATGTCCGGGAGTGTCAAATATGTATGTGCGAAAGGGTATTATATCTCTTCATCACACCGTAAATCACCTTATGCTCTGCGATGATTTATTTTTACGGACATTAGAAACCGTCTTGTTCAAATAGTTAAAAACAAGACAGGCACGAAAATAAGACTTGAAAAAGTGTTCCAACGAAAGAGTATGGAAATCATTTTATTTTTAAATCCAATATTTTACAATGTACATGTAAATAAAGTACATTTTCCATTTTGTAAATGAGACAGTAAATCATGTCTTTATTAGGCTCTATTCCCATAGATTTTAGATCGATCTATCCCCGCGGGGAGTCTCACTAGATTACTTTCTGATAATCCGACTTAAATGTCCGTCCCGCCTACTACAAGCTGTAAGGGGATAATTAACTTTCGTGTCCGCCCGGCTGACAGCTATTTAGCGTGAACCCCCAGGGAGTTAGGTCGATCCAATGTAGGTCGATCTAATCTATGAGAATGGGGTGTTTATTAGAGCCTCGTGGACATGCATATGCTGACCGCTTGATCAGTTGACTTTACACCTAGCTAGGAGCCATATATGCGTCACTTACACGTGAGGCGCAAAGTTTTTATATTGTAGGCCTGTGGGTTACATAGACCTCTCTGTCGTGACGTATTGATACAGTGCGGATAGGATTGACAATAACACGGAAAGATCCATGATATTGTTTATTGGGAAAGGCATGTCTTTTTAGTAAAACGAATCACGATTCTTTAAAACCATCATAGGTTTTCTCGCATTGCAGAGGGAAATATGGACATCGCATACTTTTCTGAGGAGTTTTATTGTTTATAAGGTCTGAATTGGGAGAGAGATTTTTTGCAAGATACTGAGGCGTAACAAATATGACACTGGGACATTCTCAAATGCGTGCAAAATGCCTTTACACAAGGCAAATTCTGGGGATTCCCAAGATGATGCTTTGCGAAGTGAAATGACCATTATTTGCCCAACCCCTTTTGGATTCGGTCCTTGGCCCAATATAAAGTAATAATAACTGCAGTTACACTTGAGCTCAGAAAAAAATCCAATAATGAGACAATCATAATTTCCTTCAGTAATCGCTTAAGGCGATTTGTGTATGTGCTGGCGGGGGGAAATTGCCGTCGCCGTCCTGACGGGGTGACAAACGCCCACGTGCACAACACGCGGCCCCCCTCTTTTCGCGTACTATAATATTTATATTTACTCATTTCTTCTGATGTAAAATTTTCAGAAATATATACGGTATAATCCCATGTCGCAGAAATGGTAACGCCACTTAATTTTCTTCAAACATTTTTTCGAATTTGAGTTAAAATGAATGCCAACATGATTACAGCATTTAAAAGATAAATCTATATACTTAGATATTTATCTAGGATAGAGCAAAAATTTTTGTTATAGCTAAATTTAAAAGTAATAAATAGCGTGCGGACCACGTATCAAAATCCTCAAAAATACATACGAGTCGATTGTTGCTGTCTGCAAACACAACGGTACACGTGGGATAACATGAAGAGTGTCAAAGTGTTATCACTGCTAACATCTCTATGTTATATAGAATAACATACACTTAATCCCAGAAGGACAATATATGACACATGATTCATGCACCATATGTCGGTTGTGGGGGCTTTTCCAAAACAAAATGATGTATATTAAAAAACCCTCTGGCAAGGGCCATCTGAGTACAATGTGCACTTTCACTGTAAAAGAGGAAATATAAATATATATGAATAAAGACAAATTAGGTTCTTCTGACTTTATTAAAAGTATTCTAAAACCTTAATATTAACAATAGTTCTACATGTACAGAAAAGACATGTAATCATAAATCATAAACAACAGGCTAGGGCTATTTCACATTTAACAATGTACATTATACATGTCTGTTTGTACCCTGAACTAACAAAATATTTACAAGTTACATACTTGCACATTAAAAAATGAGCTACACTTCTCCATCAAACATTTAAGTGTTGTTATCAAATTTCAGAGTGCAAAATCCGTCTCATGTTGTTTGCAATAAAAAGGTGTACTTCACAAGAGTCTTAACCACAAACTTAAAGAAACAGGGATAGCCAGGAAAATGATGAAAATACATTTCAAATTTTTTTTATCAACTTTCTCATATCTAAATGGTAATGTTTACTTAAAATTCTTATAATTTCCCCAGATACATATTTCATTAATAAGATCGACTCCAGGGAAAAGATCCATGCTTCCAAGCAGAGACTGGTTTACTTCTTTTGTTTCTACCACCTGTATACACATAAAATACAGCATACCAATTTTAAAATATCTTCTAGTTTTCAGATAGATCAGCCAGCATTTTATAACATTTTTCAAGGGTGTATGTATGAACAGTTTTTTAAAACTTTGTTTGTTAATTAAGTTTTTGGCATATTTGATAATTCCTCACCCTAAACTTTTTTTCAATTTTCTGGTGGTGGTGAGGAATGCTTGCCTAACAAAAAGAAAAAATGAGATCCAGTGTGGAATAAACTGGGAAGCCAAGTTGACATGACAGTTATGTAAACACCAATATCTCATACAACAGTCAATCACAGGCAGATTAAAACTGCCACTGACAGCTAGTCCTCTGCTTCCTTCTTTTTCTTGGTCTTTTTGTTCAAGCCATACAGCTTACTGTACGTGTCTGCCGTGGCTCGGTCAGCTTTAGTAATGCGGCTGAAGTCAAAGTCAGCAAGGTTTGGAAGCTTGGATAAAACATGACTTCTGTAACCCTGAAAGTAAGCATTGCAAAAAGGACTAAATACAGCACTCTCTAGATAGCATTTGTTCATCTTCATTGTATCAGATGTGTCACGTTGATGAAATGTGATATACATGTATGAAACAGCACTGAACTTATAAAGCAGGTGATATGCAGGGGCGGATCCAAATATATTTTCTGACAGTCTTCCAAATTGTCTTTGTTGATCCATCCTCCATTCTTGACCGTCTTCCGGCAGAAAAAATAGATACCTGTCAATGTAAACTTGAAAATCTGACCGTCTTCCGAAAGACCCAGAAGACGGCCTAAATCCGCCCCTGATATGTACTTCATAATGTGATCAATAAATACCTCAGGCTGAGTATTTTTTACTTCCAAATGTGCATTTAACTGTTACAATTATACATCTCTCAAGACCTCCATACATGGAAAGTGCTTCGGATAGCTAAAACAGTGGTATGGGTAATACTTTGTATGTCAATCATCCAGCTATATTTTACATAAATTTAACTAATTTATCTAATACTGGATTTACAAATGTGTTTAGTTGACTTGTACTTACTTTGATATTCTCAATAGGATTCCCATGCAGTGTAAGTTTCCTGAGACTTCTACATGTGGCCAGGTTGTCCACCTCCTTCAAGTCTGCTATGCCATTGCCATGTAAATACAGGATCTGCAGATTGGGGTATTTTCCTAAAACCTACGTGGTTTTCAAAGACACAGAACAGAACTTGTACTGAGTATAATGAATATTTTGATGAGGACAAGTGAGACTGCAAATATTTTAAAGTCATGGCCAGTGTTAGAAATTAACGCTGGACCGTCTGCCCGGGGCTGACAACTTTCAGAACGGACTGAGAAGTTTTCCCACCTGGCAGGCATTTGAGCCAGCTACTTTTCAAGATGGCTGAACTTTCGGTCCAGCAACTAATTTTCCTAAGAGGCAAACAGTGGTCATGGCAGACCTGTATATTGCTAATGTTCTTAAAGGTTTAAACTACAGAATATGCAATTAAAAAAAATGATAACATAAATCATGAGGCATATCCAAATCATTATACATTTTCTTTTGAAAGCTTTCGGTTCCTTGACTCTATAAAATATAAAAAAAAGATCACCTTATCATTCAAGGCAATGTTACACACAACCAAAAGTTATATTTACTCACAGGGTCAAGCTTGGTAAGCTCATTAAAAGACAAATCTAGCCACTGTAACTCTAATGGATCATCTACCAGTTTTTCTAAAGTGGCTTCCAGTGTTTCAAAGTCTGCTATGTTATTGTTGTTAAGTCTAAGGCAGTGAGACAAGTATTTCCCGGACTCTGACTTCTTTGGTTTGCTTTTCCTTGGAGACTGTAACCTTGGCTCTTCACCTAAAACATCTAAAATGACCCAAAACACGGTTATCTTAATCAGACTATTAGTGACAAGTAAAGAGTGTATTTAATTGTACATGGAAAATGTCCTTTTCATTGTCATGTTATAACTGGACCTACTGACTTAAATTCTGAAATTTCTAAATGCAACATTTTGTTCAAACAAATAATCTTTTAAAATGAAAAACTCTTAATAATCTCAAAATATTCAAAATAGTTTTTGATTCTGCCCTGTTAATTGTTTAAGTAATGATAACTTTAATCTGCACACCTGTTTTTCACGGACAGTCTCTCTCTCTCTCTCTCTCTCTCTCTCTCTCTCTCTCTCTCTCTCTCTCTGGATTCATTCACTTACCTGAACAAGTTGTTAAAGTCATAAAACTGAAATCTAGAGGAGCAAGAATTTCTGCGTTCTTATCCGTTGTGCCTGCCTTTCTTGGCGACGACATGTTTCCAGCCTAACGCAAGAGGAAAATATTACTTTTTGTGCGAATATTCTTAACAAATGTTAAAATACAGGACAGTGATGTGTACCTAAGATTCTTATTTACATCGCGTATGATATATAATACAAATGTATTTATATTCAGTCCAGAGAAAGCCGACAACAAACTTTTAAGATAGGAATAAAACGACAAAGGTAAACACTCTAATATTCAAATATGAACTAAAGACGAAAAAGCATGAACTCACCTCTTAACACACGCGTTTGCTTTTTAAATACCTGAAGAAGTCAATAAAAACAATACACTCAAACAGGTGACCTAAAAATGAATACTTTCATCCTCCATGACAGTTTACTATGGGAACGGCCTTGACCTTGACGACATACGGTATGCCAATTAAAAATAAATTACGACACACTAAAAGTGGCGTTTTAAGTATTAAAAAGAATCCACAACTTTTATTTGCATATATGACACAGAATGTATATAATTTAATCGTAATTTAATCATATCTGAAATATAAAGTTTGATCAGGCGTTAGAAATGAAAACGAGGCTCATACCGCAAAGATTTAAAAGGACGGGAAATTATAACGTGCGGAAAAATTACTATTAAAAGGTAAAAAATACATATATAGCGGTAGGTAGGAAATCTGGTTAAATATATATATTCAACTGCTATAGTTTAAAGTCACTTTGCTTAAGAGAAAATTTTGAAATATTAAGAAACAAATAAAAAATGCCCTCTTTGTGCCCAAAAATAAGCCTAGGTATTTAAAATTAATGGTAACGATTACCGTGAATCATTAATTAAGTTGTTCAGAATGCTACGATCATTTGTGCTTACTGCAGACTAACATTTTGTTGTGGATCATGATGAGTTTTGTAAAATGTGATTATTACTTACATTAGTAATCATTATTTTGACTGACAAACGGCTATAAACAAATCAAATGTCTAAATTTTGGTTTTTGGTATATTTTCAGTTCATGGGTTATGTTGGTCATCACATAAAGCTCTAAAACCATGAACAGAGATAGGACCCATGCCCTGTTAGAGTGGGTAAGTCAAATATGACAGCAACCGTAAAATGTTCATCTGCATTTTAGATTAAAGGGATATCAACTGTTCATATATGAGATTCATATTTCACAGTAAATTGTTAACAAATCATAGAAATATAATGATTAAATTCCATTTTACCACCAAGACAGTGGTTATCAGTTATTCTAGAATCTAGCTATTAGTGGCACACATTGGCACTTGTATTTATAACCCAAATACTGGTGGTCATTATATTGAAGTTCGTAATTTCACCCTCCTTGATAACATGTGAATGAATCATAATTTTGGACGCATATCCAGTAAAACTATATCCTATTTTTTAAACCCCTACACTATAAGTATCAGAGTTAATATCTTAAACAATTCTTGTATGTTTCAGGTCAACTCCATTGATGGCACTCCTTGTATCGAGTCTCTCATTCAACTAAATGATGGGACACATCTGATCCACATGTTGGAACAAATGTAAGTATAAGAACTGGAGGATGGAAAATTTACTTGGCGTGTCAAGCCTGATCATGCACACACACACACACACACACACACACACACACACACACACACACACACACACACAATACACACACACACACACACACACACACACACACACACACACACATGCCCAAATATACAAATATACAATCATATACACCCAAAGTCACACCAACTTAGCTGAAATCTTAAAAAGAACCGATCTGCACTAGGATTTCTGCACTGCCTTATTCTCCTTTACTTCTTTTTCCACAGAGTTCCTGCCATGTTTCCAGCAGATGTGGAATTAACCACAGTTACTGCCAGGATGGACTTTCTTATCATGGTTCTCTCAGAGATGTACAACACAAAAATAGATGAGAGAGTCAACTTCAAGGCTATCGTTAACTTTGCAGATGAGTTTGAAATTAGTAAGGTAAGGTAGTTGGCACTGTGATTATGATATATGTACAATGTCAGTACTTGTAGTACACAGTGTAAATTTCTTCGACTTCCTGTATTCTAAACATCTGTTGATGCATGTAAGATACTGATAATGATATTGGGGCTCTTAGAGTATGTATCTGAAAAATTCATAATTTATCCCCATGGAAATGATTGCGTTATTACAGTAGTCTAGATCTTTTTTGTTTGGTTTTAGGTAGTGATGCTGGTCATGTACAGTGCCATGGTGTTCAGCAGCAATCAGCAGAGTTTCATCCTGTCTACGTTGAAGCTGAACACAAGTACCCAAGAGGCACTGAAGGAGATGATCGAGGTCCTGATGACAAGCCCAGACCACAAGATTCCACAGAACTTTGATGATGTATTAAAACAAAATGTCAATGAACAAGGTATTTTTTTCTTTCTTTCTTTCTTTTTTAAAGAAAATTCTGCTCAATGCATTAATCTTTGTTTTTTGTTGAAGGTATTTTTTTTTTAGGTTTATTAATAAAATAATGGATTTTAGTTACTTAATGAAGTAAAGTGTATACTTGGACCAAAATTCTGTGTTCTTATAGATTGATGTGGTCACTTTGTAGGCTTAAATTCTCCACCACTTTGTTTCAGTAATTATTATAACAATGTAGCTTATGCAGACATAGCTGCAACTTTGCTTCTTGTTTTTTGTCAATCCATCTAATTACATTATCCAATCCCAGTAAACTCCTTTATAGATTATTCTAATTTTAGATTTATTTCAAAGTCTCACCTTCAGGTGGCTCATCAGGTGCAGATGGTGACACAGCCAACATACCCTTACCTGCACCACTGAAATGTTCACCACCAAAATTTCAGAAATCTATGTTCAATAGAAGTCTGCTAGCTTCCTTAGGTTTGCTTTGTAACGGTTTGGTTTGCTTTTAATTGGCTTCATTAAAGGGATAATAACTCTTCGTATGATATCTATATTTCACAATAAAGACATTGTGAACAACTCATATTTAAATATAATATATTCTGTTTTACCACACAAATGGCATTTATAGCTAGTATTCTGATATCTGAGCTTGTCTTCTGACCACGTGACCTCCACTGATGGCTGTACTCTGTTATAATCTCCTAAGAGATTTTAACAAAAAACCAAACTTTATAGAAAAAAAAAGAGACTAACTTTGAATGTAAAAATGGATTCATTAACCATTGGTAAGTATGGGAAAATTGTTGTTTACTCCAGGAAAATTCATTTTTTGGCCAAAATGGAGAGTTATTAACCCTTTAAGCTTCTTGCTTTGAATTAGAAAGAATTGTTTTCTTTACTGAAGTTAGTCTAAGGTATAACACTAACAACTTGAGGTTTGTTTGCCTCTTTCATCTCACCTGCTTGGTTTTTTCTGTAGAATGTAGTATGTCCTAAAACTTACAATTGTGCCTTATTTCTCATGAAATAGATGGGTTCTTCACTATATAAAAAATTATTACCTACTACCAATGTCTAGTTATTTTGAGTTTCTTCAGCCTGTTTATGTTTTAATTGGGTCTGTGAAATTGTAAAAGTTTGCAGTAGGAAAAAATATTTTGTGGTTGTGTATGTGTGTGTTGGGGGAGAGGGGGGGGGGGTGCAAAATTCTGTGAGATTGCCTTAGTTATAAAGATAAGTAGTCTTATTAAATGATTAATTTGAAAAAATTCTTTTCAACAGGCAACTCCTCTGCTATAGGGACACCCAAACCGTTATCAAGGAAAAACAGCACACGTACAATAAGCCAAGAATACACCAACTCCCCTGGGACCCCCTTCCAGCAAGTGATGGAGTCCCCACAACTGGTTCACAGGGTAAGAAATTAAGTGTTAATTTAAGAAGTTTTAGTGGTTTCTTTGTAGTCTATGTGACCCTTAAATCACTAAAATTAAGAATGAGGTCAATTGTGATATTATAAACATCTGTTGCAGTGTTTCCCCTGCACTTAAATGAGCGAGGCGCCCGCCTCGATGATATTTGCAAGCGCCTCGCTGAAATTTGTCAAAAGCACCGCCTCGCTGGACTATATGGAACAACAATGTATATTTTCACTCATGTTAACTGAAAATTATATTTATTTCTAAGCAAATATGGCATTTTCTGTTTACATACGTAATCCCATGCTTCTGAGCACTTGATTTAGTAGTAACGGAAAGACGCATGCGCGTATGCCTAAAATAACCAGCAGTTAGCACACGAACGAAACGCAGTGCCTCGATATGAAACCAGACAACTTTTGTGTTTNAGAGACTAACTTTGAATGTAAAAATGGATTCATTAACCATTGGTAAGTATGGGAAAATTGTTGTTTACTCCAGGAAAATTCATTTTTTGGCCAAAATGGAGAGTTATTAACCCTTTAAGCTTCTTGCTTTGAATTAGAAAGAATTGTTTTCTTTACTGAAGTTAGTCTAAGGTATAACACTAACAACTTGAGGTTTGTTTGCCTCTTTCATCTCACCTGCTTGGTTTTTTCTGTAGAATGTAGTATGTCCTAAAACTTACAATTGTGCCTTATTTCTCATGAAATAGATGGGTTCTTCACTATATAAAAATATTATTACCTACTACCAATGTCTAGTTATTTTGAGTTTCTTCAGCCTGTTTATGTTTTAATTGGGTCTGTGAAATTGTAAAAGTTTGCAGTAGGAAAAAATATTTTGTGGTTGTGTATGTGTGTGTTGGGGGAGAGGGGGGGGTGCAAAATTCTGTGAGATTGCCTTAGTTATAAAGATCAGTAGTCTTATTAAATGATTAATTTGAAAAAATTCTTTTCAACAGGCAACTCCTCTGCTATAGGGACACCCAAACCGTTATCAAGGAAAAACAGCACACGTACAATAAGCCAAGAATACACCAACTCCCCTGGGACCCCCTTCCAGCAAGTGATGGAGTCCCCACAACTGGTTCACAGGGTAAGAAATTAAGTGTTAATTTAAGAAGTTTTAGTGGTTTCTTTGTAGTCTATGTGACCCTTAAATCACTAAAATTAAGAATGAGGTCAATTGTGATATTATAAACATCTGTTGAATGGCCATGAGTAAGGAAGAAACAATTTGACTTTATTCTTGGTAATTATAAATTGATAATTGATAATAATTTTAATCAGTTAAAACTGGTGATAATTGTGAGAGATGCATGCAGTTGTGTTGTAAAAATGTATAGCTTTGACACAATTGCAGTTTAAGTGACAAGATTATTGATTCTTTGATAACTTACCACTTGCATTATATAAAGTACACAAAGATGTGGTAATTTTTGTCTTTTGCGTTTCTTGCAGAGAGTCCTCCACCAGAAGGAGCTACAAATAAAGCATTTGGAAAGTCTTTTAAATACAGAGATACACTTAAAGACTGAACTACAGGCTGATTTGATGGAAAGAGACAGGGAGATTGCTTCATTTGGTATGGTGATGCTGATATAACATATTCTAAAAATTATTTATGATAGGTCATGAAATTTTTCAGAAAAAGGACCTTGCTATTAACTTTTATGTAGAAATTTCAATTTATCAGTTTTTTTAATTAGATAATTATCTAATTGCTTCAATTGCTTGTTGTCAGCAAAAGATTCTTTTAGTGAGAAACTCTTGAACTCGATGTGCTTTACTTTTGATTGTTATATAACTTATTAAGATGCCAGATGTAAGGAAATAACCCATCTACAGCAGCAGTTACAAGCAGCCCAAGATGACCTTGAGAACATGGCAACACTCAGAGAAAATATGGTAAAAATGGAGAAAGAGCTAGCAAGGTGAGAAAGAGATTGAGTGGGGTTGCAGCTCCTAAAAATTCTTTGTTAAGGGCCAAAGATTAACTTATCGCCAGACCAACCTTTTAATATACTAACTCCAGGGTTAGACATCTGTATTGGACTACCCAGTCTGAGTTGACAACCAGTTTTCTTTTTTATCTCAGTAATTAATTAACTTGATATGGTTCATTTAGATACATTGATTAGCCTTGTGAAAGCTCTAAGTTTTGTTTTTGTTCTAATTTAATTAGCTCATTTTAAGGCAACACTTGCTTTTTCATGTAACATGCACTTTTGAACAAAGTTTGGAAATTGATTGATTGATTGCTTGATTGATTGACGGAAAATTTTGTCTGACCAATAGCCTGTCATTTTTAATTGCTAGAGAATGTTAGAAATGTTTAAAAAGCTGTACTCTTTAAATGCTACATGGTGACAGTATTTAAAAGAAATTATTTAATGCATTGTTTGCTAGGTTGAGAATGCAGGCAAGTTCACATCATGAAACAGAGGAGAGAAATAACCAGCTGGAAAAGGAAAATTTAGAACTTTACAAACGAAAAGAGTTTTTGACGGGAGAGGTAGGGATTTCCATTTATAACACCTGTATTCACTCTTTAGTGTAAACTTTGTTGATATTGATGTTTGTGATCCTGATTTGGACACATGATTTCAGATATGGTAATGCAGCACAATTTTCAAAACACCATATTAAAAATGTCACAATATTTGAAAAATCAACTTTATGTGGAACTGGCAAATTAAATAACTGAGAAACTAACCCTTAAAGGTAAGCACTGTAATTCCAACTAAATATTTTACTTTTTGAAGTGTAAAGGAAAAAAAGACAGTCTAAACATATTGCTCCTTTATTCCAGCTGAAGCACACCCAGGATCTGTTGTCCCAGACGCAGGGCAAGATGGAGTCCTTGGTGAAGAAAGAAGCACAGATAGGGGGCACTCTGGAGGCCACGCAAGAGGAGCTGCGCAGGTATCAGAGTCTGAGCTCAGAACTGAAGCAGCAGCTGGTAGAAGTACAGAAGCTTTATCATGAAGCCACCATGGAGCTCCACTTGGCCAAGGAGAATGCACAAAATGGTAAATATATTTCAGTTGTATTTGAAAATAACAGAGTTAAAATTTGATAAATCTGTCCTCAGTAAATAAATAAAAAAACATCTCAATTTATTTTTAACAGAATACCCAACACTGAAGTCATTTATAGATGTTATAAAATGTATACTTTTGATTTAGTTTTATTTAAGGTAATGTGTGATTCGGTATTTTCATCTCACTAGTGAAGTTTTGCTGTGATTTTTTTATAGTCAGATGTCTCAATAATTGATTGTTTAGAATAAAAGGTCACTGCTCCCCATTGTTTTTTTTCCAGCTCAAATTGATAATGTTGGTGAGTGTATGACCGTCTTCACAGAGAAGAGGATCATTGAGTTGGAGGAGGAGCTGGGAAGCAGCAGGACACAAGTAGAGAAACTGAAGGGGGCAGTAGAAACCAAGACAAGCCAGCTGGAAGAGGCAGACATTTTAGCAAACCAAAAGAACTTGGAGATTGAGCACTTGAAACAGGAGAAAGTTGAATTCCAACAAGAAATGGCTAATCTATACCAGACCTTGGACATACTGAAGGCCAGTCAAGCCAAAGGAGAGACGGAGATAACGAAACTCCACCAAGAGATGGAGCATAAGAACCAGCAGATGAGGGACACAGAGATTGCCCACAACCAGCATGTCAGAGAGATCAGGGAGAGATGTGCTGCAGAGATGAAGGAAAGGGAAAAAAGTCAGGAACAGAGAGTGGGACAGCTTCACCAGGAGATAGAATCACTTAAGTCAGTCTGCTCTAAGGCAGACTCCCAGATCAGACGTTTGGAAGAAAAACTTGAGATAAGCACCAAGCAGATGGCTTTCACAGAAGAGCAGGCTAATCAAAGGGTGATGGAGATTGAAGAGAATTATGTGGCTCAGATGAAAGAAGAGCAGACAACATATCAATGCAGAATGGCACAGCTGTACCAGGAGGTGGAATCTCTCAGATCTAGGCTGACAAAGGCTGAGACTGACAACAAACAATTACAGGAACTCTTTGATGATAAATGTCAGGAGTTTATGGCAGCTGAGAAAGAGGCATCAGGGAAATTGCAGGAGTTTGAAGAGAAGTACAAAGACAAATGTGAAGAACTGAGGACTGCTGAGGAGCAGTGCACTCAGAGGTTGACTGACCTTGAAGGACAATATAATGTCAAGTGTGATGAACTGGCTGTGTCCCAGCAACAGGTTGCTGTGTTTGAGAGACAGCACGAGGAGATGTGTAGAGAACTGGAAGCCAGTGAAAAACGTGCTAGAGAAAGTTTTAAAGAACTTGAAAGACAATTTGCTGCAAAGTGTCAAGAGCTGTACTCTTGTGAAAAACAGGCCAGTGAAAGAATAACAGAGCTTGAGGAGCAGTACATGTCCAGTCTGGAGGAGCAAATAGGCAAATACCACGAACTGACAACTTCCCACGAGGAAACTGCAGCAAAATTGGCTGCTCTTGAAGAGCAGTATGAGGCAAAGTGCAATGAGCTGGATATTGTAATGAGGCAAACTCGGGATCTAGAAGAGCAATATGGCAATAAGTGCCGTGATCTGGATGCAGCTAAATCTGAGGCCAGTGAGGGGCTGATGGAGCTCCAGAAACAGTATCAAGCTAAGTGCCATGAGCTTGAAATGACTGAGAAACAAGCCTTGGAAAGAATGTCCACCATGGAGGAGAATTACAGCAGCAAATGCCAAGAGATGGAGAATTGTGTGAAACAAGCCCAAGAAAGAGAGGCCAGACTTGGAGAGGAATATAGAATAAAATGTGAAGATCTGAAAGTGGCTCAGAAACAGTTAGCTGAGTTTGAAGTGCAATATCATACCAAGTGCCAAGAATTGGAGTCTGTAGAAAAACAGGACTCTGAGAGAATGGCTGCTCTTGAGGAGCAATATCAAACCAAGTGTCAGGAGCTTGAAACCAATGACAGGCAGGCCTGTGTAAAAATTACCCAGCTTGAAGAGCAGTATAAAACCAAGTGTGAAGAATTTGAGACTGAGATTTCACGGATGCAAAGTTGTTTGGAGAACAAGTCTCAGGATGTTAAATTAGCTGAACTGAAACTGTTAGAGATGGTCAAAGAAGTGAATAATGTGAAGGAGGAATCAAAAGCTGAAATAACACGTTTACAAGGTTTGTTAGAGGAGAGGTCTCAGCATATAAAAGAAATTCAACATGCAGCTGACCAGAAGTTATTAGAAAAAGATGAAGAAATGATGAATTTGAGTAACAAAGCAAAAGACAAATGTGCTCAAATACAGGAGCTACTGGAAAACAAAGACCTTGAGCTGAAAAACATGAAGCTGTTAGTTGAACAAAAATTACAAGAGGCCACAGAAAGCTATAATCATAGAATACAGATTGAAGAGAAAAATATACAACTCGAACAAATAATTAGGCATCTAGAGGAGAATATCACTACTTTAAAAAGCACATCAGATGCCCAAATAATGCAGCTACAAAATGAAATTCATGATAAAAAAGCTGAGATGACTGCCAAGGAGATACAGACCAATCAGAAGGTGACAGAAATGGAGAGCGTCTGCCTCGTGAAGGTAACCAAAATGGAGAAATCTCACAAGGAGAGTATGGCCATGCTCCAGGTGGAACTGAAGACAATGAAGGACAACTACACCAGCGCTCAGTCCCAGGTTTCCCAACTACGCAACATCCTGGACACTAAGACCAGAGTTCTGAAGGAGACTGAGGTCAAGGCCAATGAGAGAGTCTCGCACACTGAGGAAAAGTACACTGCCCAACTCTCTAAGCTGGAGACGAACTTTGAAACTCTGAGGGATCGCCATGCCCAGGCCCTCGGTCAGATCAAGACCCTGCAGGTCAGTTTGGAGGCCAGGGGTCAGCAGGTGAAAGAGTCGGAACTGCTGGCCAATCAGAAGCTGTGTGACATGGAGCAGAAGTATGAGGGTGAGTTAAGGACAGAAAAGGAACGCCAGCAACAGAGAGTTGAGGAACTGGAACATGAGATTGAGATGCTCAAGGCTGACTATGCTAAAACACAGGTAAAAATTTCCATTTCATCTTTTAATGCTCAATCTGGTAAAAAAGAGAATGACTGCAACTTGCATGTCATGTAGTCATGCTTGGAAGTTGCATGTTTATAGAGTAATGAAGCCTGTCTCTTTAAAAATCTTTAAACGCTGTATATTTATAGAGCCTTTGGTGCGGCAAATTGGTCTGTTGCGATTTTTGTAGTCAAATCTTTATCCCTTGTCACATTTTGGGGATTTTTTAAAAGGTCTTCATTCATGTTTGATTTGACAAGTGCTAATACTGTGTTTTAGGACCAGCTTCTGAATGATGCTGATGACAAGGTGCTGAGATATGAAGAGGAACTGGAAGCATATAAACACAGGGTATGTTAATAGCCGCCTGTGACAACCTTTATCCTGTAATGACAAAAATGATTCTATTTTTTGAGAATTCAGGTGAAATATGATACAAAACTCTATTAATTTTTTGAATTTATGAATATTTAGGAATTTATAAGATTTTTCTTTTTCCAGGTTGTAATAGCTGAAAATGAGGTGACTTTGTCACAAGGAAAATGCAAAACTTTGGAAAGGGAATTAGAAGTAAGTAAAATGTTAGGCTGTTTAAGTTAAACCATGTTTAAGCTGAGATTTGAAATGTGAAATGGATGGAAAGCTAACCTTGCTCTGCTCTGTGTACATGCATGCAAAAAAATAGATAAAAGTATGCCTAGAGCATTTACAGTTCCTAAATCCCTTCTTGATTCCAAGAAGCTGCTTGGATAAGCGTATGTATTTGTGCATGTAAAAAAAAGTGTGTGTGTGTGTGCGTGCGTGCGTGCGTGCGTGCGTGTGTGTCCTCTGCACATGAAGACTGCCAGCACCAAATGGAATATTAAGGCAATGTTAGTGGGTGGGCAAGTGGTTTTACTGGAATGACGTGAATATTCCATGTATTCCAGCGTGTTACCAGGAAAGAGGGGAAGCTGATAACAGACCAGCAGGCACAGCTGTCCCAGGCCTTTGCCATGAGCAAAACTCTTCAGTCACGACTGCAGCAGCTTGAACAGGAGCACCTTGCCACCAGACAGAAGCTAGCCAGTGAAGTATGTGTTATAACAGCTGACAGATTGAAATAACGGCTTGGGGTGGGCTAGCGGTTTACTGGGGTGGAATTCTGCCTCGTCTCAGCAAATTTTCTCCTGGGGTGTACAGGTTACACAGTACTCTTAGTTACCATACGCTGATGCTCTAGTCAAAGTAAAGCTTGTTACTAAAAGAGGGGTGCATAGAACTCTGTGAATCATTCTTTGCGAAAATAAAAAAATGTGAGAGAGGAAGTTGAATTACATATTAACCAGCAAATAACACAGAAAACAAAATTCATGAACCAAAATTCAGAACTGAATGTTTTAAAAATACTGTTTTCCTTTCCACACATTTAGTGGTCTGTGTTTTATTTTGGAACTCATCTTGGTCTTTATCGTATATTGTTTATTTTACCCCTTTTGCTTTTATCAAACTTTAAGAGGTTTGTGCTTTATTCATTTTTGAACTCATTTAGTCTCATTGTATATCCTTTATTATGTGTTAATGTTTTAATTTGTAATTTTTATTCTAATCCACTTTATGTACAACTTCAGCCTTTTATTTGCTATTTATTATTATTATTATTATTATTATTATTATTATTATGTGTGGATTCAGGGGAAAGGAGGGTTAATAATTTTTTTATAGTATTATCTATTCCCACTTTTTGATTTATTTTGGAATTATAGTTAAATGAATAAGTATATCTATGTGCATATGCTAAATATGAGGATATTTGATTAAAAATCCTTTGAATTTTATCTATAGGTTTGCTAGGTAACAGAAGATTCAGTAACGAGAAAAAGAGTTCTTACATCCGATAATTGGAATATTGCCTTTCTCAAATAAATTATATATCATGCTTTTTTGGTACATCTTCAATTTTCAACTTTAGGAGAGAAGATGCAGGGAAGTTGTAGAAGAAAATGAGAGGCTGTCAGCTGCTCAACGGAGACAGAAAGAAGATGGAACTGTGATGAAGAGACTAAGTAAGACATGAGTAATGGGGGGGGGGATAATGGGGGAATGTGATTAGTAAAAAATCAGTCATGAAAATGAATAAACATACTTAGCATTTGCAAGAATATAGCAGGCTGACTAATGACTGCTGCTTTAATGTTCTGTTCTAAAGAATATAAAATTCATGTTTTGAACAATGAAAGGTTTAGATCAGATAAGAGTCATTATCAGAACCCCCACTCCCCTTTTCCCTGTCATCAATTATATTCTCATTTTTCTAGCCATGCAGGTGAAGTCGCTAGAGGCTCAGCTGGCACTTGCTGATACCCAGCTACGAGAATACCAGGAGAAAAAAGACCAGTCCACAGTTAGTAGGGAGAGCACACTCAGGACGGAAACCACCTTAAATGAAAGCATGGGTAAGGGATTCAATCTTAGTCTGTGTAAAGGAAAAGAATTAGTGTGTTAGAAAATGCTAGAAAATCACATTTTGAGACTCAAATTTTTCACGTTTTTTTGTGCATCAGTTATTGCATTGTGTCACTATTCTTTGGAATAGATTTGCAATTGGCATATCATATTTTCTACTTTGACATAGATTATATGTTCTTGTGACTTTCCTGTTTTTGTAAGGTTTTGTAATAAAGCCACAAAATTTTTGAGGCTAATTTACAGACGAGGAAATTAGATTTTTTTATATTACATTATGGTTTCATTAAATTTTCCGTTCTTCAATGTACACAGTATGATAAAAGGACTGCAATTTGAAATATGATTTGGAACTGTTTTAACAGTGTTAGGTGGTGCATATTTTTATTAGCTTAATATTTAATTTAAGTTTAAAATTTAATTGTCCAGATTGTCTTGATGATTCCCTGGAGGAGAGGAAGCCTCTGTCCCTAGAGGACTTAAGAACTGGATCTAGTGGTGAAGACAGACACAGGTGAGACTAGAACACACCTGTATCATGTGTTTGGTTCACTTCATAAGCATATCAGACATGCAACTATGTATCTGTATATTATATGAATAGGAGAAAATGTATCAAAACATATATAATCACTTGATATTTTGTGTTGAATAGGTAAAATTAAGTTAATAAAGAAAGCTGTTTTGATTTAATTAATTGTTTTAATTTTCAATTCTTGCATGTTGTATGATATGCATTATATATTATCTCACAGCGTTTATCATGCACCATTTTTGTACCTTTTTTTAAAGCTATGACAGCACCCAGGGATCCAGCTTTACCTCTATGGACCACAGTTTCAAGCACCCGATGTCCCTGAGAAGCAGTCACCCAACCAAGCGCCACAGCACCACCAGCTCTGCCTTGGGTCCAACACAGACTACAGCACGTATGTGGACAGCAAACTCTCTCCCTCCCCCTCTCTCTCTCTCTCTCTCTCTCTCTCTCTCTTTCTCTCTTTCATTTTAAACTTTAATTTGGAAAAAAAGTAATCATGTATATGTACACCATATTATTAAGTATAAATCCCCAATATTCACACACACACGTTTGCACATGTGCGCATGCACGCACGCACGTTTACCATCACTGCCTCTAATTCCAGTAGGTGCTGGCAGTCTGTTTGCGTGTGCAGAGGAGCCAGTGGATATGGGTTTTGACTGGGACAGCCTGAGTGAGCTCCAGAGGAGGAACACACTGTGTCTGCCTCACCTGAGGTCTGCCTACCCCCTGATGCAGCAGCCCAGCGATCTCAGTGAAGACATGATGAGGTCTGGAAGGGCATCCGCCTCTATGGTTGGGTAGGTTTTTTCTTTATATTTAATATGGTTTTTCTTTATATTTAATAATAATATGAGCAGGTGGGAGGTTTTCTGTTTTCTCTGTTTGAGTTTTAGGCTTTCTTTTATGTCTGGATATGTATATATATGTATGAAATTTAATTAAAATAATGATATTTATTTAAAGTCTAAAATCCCTAAATGTTCAGTAGACTTTACAGTGATATAATACTAAAATATTGTAGTATTAAGAACAAGCTTTAAAACCATAGTTAAGACAAATTAAAGGGTACACTTCAAATTACATTAATAGTTTTACACTTAAAACAACTTCAGCTGTTAAATTTCCTTGTAAAAAAAAAGATGTAAAAACCATAGTTAAGACATTAGATAAAAGGGTAATTTTTCAGTGACATTAATTGTTTACACCTAGAACAATTTCATTTATAAAATTTCTGAAAAATATATGCTTTGAGTTCTTTTTTAAAAACCATCTTTTGACACTATTTGGGTAAACTGAGAGGCAGTGTGTTCTATTCCACTGGAGCCGATACCATAAAAGTCTTGTCATCATAGGTTTTCAGTCTTGTTTTAAAAGCAAATGATCAGGTGAATGGAAGTTGTAACTGACAGGCAGGAAAAAAAAAAACGGGTTCACAAAGATAAGATGGAGGAAAGCCATAGAAGCACGAATGTGCGTAGGATAAAAGCTTAAGAGAATATGTGCTCAGATGGTCAGCCAGTGTTACTCTATTAAGATAATGGCTATTTGATGATCACCAGGTGAGAGATTTGCCTGACCGTAAATAAAGTCAACAGATAAACACAGATATTTTTAGCACTAGGACATGCTTTGACCACACTTCCTCCAATTCTCATGCTGATATTCTCAGCTTACTTTCTATTGTATGGCTGAATTGTGACAAGAAGCTCAGTTTTGTAATCATTAATTATTTCAGGTACAATATAATAAGAGTTCCTCACATTTTAAGCAAATTGCTTAATTGAGAAGAAATATTGTATGGGAACTCTTTAGGCACACATGAGTGTGAGCACACATGCATGCACACAAACACACACACTAATTGTTTAAAGATCTCAATTTGTTACGGAATGGTAACCATTATTGTCTAATGGAGGAATGAAAATTATGATTATGCTTTTGATAATAATAAAAAAAAACAAACTAATCCCGCCTAATCAAATTTTCCTAAAAAAAGCTTTTTTCTGCTACTAGCTAATCATTGGTCAACCTGTCCTTTTATGCCATTTCTAGTTAAATAATTTTGTTCAAAATAACTGGCTAGTCACATGGATCATTTGAGTAGATTTATCAGTTTAATGTCTGAACTGGGAAAACTAAGTATCTTTGCTCTTTGTACTTTTCCAGTGATGGACTGCAGAGAAGTCTCGGAGCTAGTAACACAAGAAAGAGGCATTCTGGGGACAGAGATAACGCCAGTGATCTGAAGAAGGTACGTTTGAGGAGATTTCAAAATTTCAGTTTAACTACAACTTTGCATGCCCTAGGTTTCATAGGCTTCATAGTATACATCTTCTTAACATAATGTGCTAACCCCCATGGAAAACACTGTGGCAATGTGTGTCACCATCCTCTGCACATGCAAACAGACTGCCAGCACCTACTGGAATATAAATGCGAAATTCAGGGTGGCCATGTCAAACGTGATGAACATGGATGCTAAGTGGTGACTAGTCTTGTCGTTATAATGCAGCAGGAAAATATGCTTTGCTTATCAGATACAGATTTGTTACAGTGGATAAAGATGGTGCCCTTTGCAGCTTATAGCTTAGGGTCTCACCAGCTGTCTAATACTGAATAAATGTATATCTGTTGTGGTTAAAGGTTGTCCAGACCCTAGTATTTCTTATTTATTCTTTTAGTATAAATTGAACCTATGTTTTCGTACCCAGTTTGAGTAGCCAAAAGAAATAAAAAGATAATGATTCTGCACCCTGTATGGTTCATGAAACACATAATTTTATTGCTTTGCAAAACAGCAGTACATTAATAGCAGATGAAATTAAGTGGTTGTTCCAGCTGTCCTTGCAACCATTTTCTCTTTGATTCCAGAAAACAAATAATGTAAGGGTAACGGGTAGAGGCATTATTCATTATAAATACTGCTGGATTAGTAAGTACAGCCAGATGTTATTTTGTTTCCAGAAAAAGCCCTCAAAACCCTCTACCCCAGGGGTGTCAGACAGAGGAAAGAACACCCCCAGGAGAAAGTCCACTTCCCCCAGGGCACCTGCTAGGACCCCAAGGATCAGTAGACACTGCCAGGAAAACAAAACACCAAAGGTAGGAATTGTCCCCTTTTTTTCATAAAAAACAATGTTAAATCCTATTATATATCAGCTTAAACCTATGTACATGGGTGAAAGTTTTTGGGATTATGCCTGATTTCAGAATTTTCAGACTTCATTTTGATTGTTATCTCATATGGTCTAAATTTGATGAGAAATTGCAAGGTACATTCACAGGATTTTCAGTTTTTACAACTTTCACCACTTTCCTGTAGTATTAAAGGTACATATGAACCAAGCATTGGTGGAGCATGGATTCCCAGTAACACATATAAACCACTTCTACTAGTTTCTTAAACGACTCAAATAAAGCCGACATTCCAAAGGATAAACTGAATAAATCAGCCATAAAAGAGCTTTAGACAGCTCCTTTCTTTAATTTTTGGTCAATATTTTAACCTACATATGTGACCTTCTTTTCTGCCCCATGTATGTACAGCATAGAAAGCTAGCAGAAAAATCTGTTCAAATATCTTTTTTCGGGTAACTTTAAACAGTGTCTTTTGGTAATTCTCCTAGTTACACTACTTGAAACTATATGCGGGCATTTGGTTGGTTTTTGTGACAAAAAATTGACTTCATATGCATCTTTAAGAGAATTGTTTGTTAAATTGGTTCAGAAACATGGCTTAATTTTTGTTTATAACAGCAATTTGGCAAATTTCCCCAAATTGCTTAAAGAAACCACTTTGGTTACCAAATTGGTATAAACAGGATAGATGTAATTATAGTAATGGTCTTGGTTAACTGGTGCTTCCCATGGTTTGGAGAAAAAATGGAAAATTGTCCATTGATATTTGAAAAATCATGTTTTTTTTCAGCTAAAGAGACAAATGGGGGCAGTGGCATTCAACATTGGGTTTTCTCCTATGAGAGCTCCAGAGAGAAGAAGAGGAAAGATGAAAACCTCCCAAAGCACTTCCACTTCCACTGGAATTCTCTCAGGCTCCCAGGTAAAAAAATAATATTGATGATAATTAAGACATTTTGATAAATGCTAGCATATTATTTCTCTGTCAGTGGAGCAGGTTATAAGGTCAAGCTGTCCCACTGCATTTTCCTCGAACAAGCCATGCAAATGACAGCTGGATGGCTAACTCGCCAAATCCTAGGATTGTGTTACTGTTGCAGTAGCAGTTTTTAAGTGTATATTTTATTACCAAGTAAGTTTGTATGTTATTGTGATATAATCAGATTTTTCTCAGCTTCTCTACCTGAAGCAAGTTAGTAACATATAGCAACATACAATTAGCAACATATGAGTATAATTAATTTTGAAGTGATACTTTTTCTTAAAATATAAACTTTATGGGCGTCCAAATTATTTTGCCTTATTTTGAATTAGGGTAGTTTTGTTAGGAAACCTGAAAGAAATTAGAAAGGGAAAGAGAAACCTATGCATCTACCATTTGTGCCAGTTTTTCAAATTGGAGGTTTATTTTGAGCTCCTGCTGAAACTTGAGTGCCATATCTAAGTCACTGTGTTACAAGGCAGGTTTTGTGTTACTTAAAAATGTATGTTGTATGTTGCCCTTCAATTATTATATTTTGAGTCATTTGGATAATTTATAAAATACTGTTATAATTGTGGATCATGGACATGGCCCTTCAAAAGTTTTGGTAACTGAATTTTTTTCATTTTATAGTATAATGTTGGAGAATGTAAGGAGGATATTTTACATTTTCCAGTTGACCACAGCATTCCTAACATATGGGCCTCCTATATTCTCTCCCCCATAGATTACTTGTATCTGTTCAATTAGCTGGTCTAGAGAATGACCCTGCCAAGAATTATTTCTTTAAGCCTACGTTAAGGACCACAGTTTTGATCTCTCCTGAAAATGAAGCTTGTGATAAATGTGTTTTTGATGGTGGTGGGATGCTTGTATGGGAGCCACAAATCACGACCAGCATGAAAATGATACTTATAGTTTTCTATAAACAAATGTTGTCTCATAAATTTTCGTTTTACAGCAATAATGGTAACTTTTGGGGTCAAATGTTGTTTTTCCATGTGATGAGGCAAAAAAAAAAAAAAAAAAGAGAGAGAGAGAGAGAGAGAAATATCATGAAAAGTACCATTAAGAGAAAGAAACAATTGACCTTCTCAACCTAAAAAAATAATAAAAATAAAATAAAACGAATGTACTTCATTGATAAGATTTGTCTTATGAGGTGGTATTGATGTTGCTGTTTTCACTTAAATCAAAAGAAAATTAGTAAGAAGTGATGGGAATGATATATGTTAGGTGGCAGTGTTACAGCTTAAATCATGTTGTAATAATTAGACAGGATATGGTTAGTTATGGCGTGTGTAAAAAGTAGTTCTTAGCTCACCTGTCTGGATCAAAAAGGGCACTTTGTTGCCTCATTTCATGAGATTCTGTGAGACAGGAATCATGTTTTATTGACTTTTCTACCAGGTAGAACCTTAACTGAAGGGGGGAAAAAAGCCAAGATGTTATGTTCCATTAATATGTTGTAAGATGTACTTTTTCTTTATGGCTGCATTGCACACATTTGCTCCCTGAAGGATCCTGAACCCAGTACTACATTTAAATCTATTTTATCAGAATGAGATGTATTGAAGCACATGCCAGTACATATGATCATGGAGCTTTTGGATTACTTTTTTTACCACATATATGTTATATTTTACTCGAGCCTCTCTAGGTATATAGAAATGAGCTGTGGATTCATTAAATATTTCACACTTTTATACCAGACTGGATTGGTGAAAATGTACAGAGATGAATAATAACACATGTATATATATATACTGGGATATCAGTTACTCAAATTGCCCAAGTTTCTAGTGTAATCATTTATCAACATGTTGTGTGGAAGAATATGAAAAAAATAGAGATATATTTTGAACCAAGAAGAAACCAAGCCATGCACCATCCATCTTTCCTCATTCTACTCAGGACATGATGTTGGAGGGGGGGGGGGGGGGTCTACTGAATCAACTAAAAAATTAACCACCCTTTTATCGTTAAAGGAGAGCATTTTCAAGAATAGGCTTACCCTCTTCCAAGAACGACATTGAACTCTGTTTTGGCAAGTTGCCATGGATGCTAACGTGTCACTGTTAATCAACAATACTTTGTTATTGCTTCTTCATCATTGCTTAATGGGGGTTTTGTTGACATAATTTTATATTTGTAGATTGTAAGTACATTTCTGTATTCTGGTTAATAATTTTTGCTGATAGCGCTGTTGTTATTTTAAATCTGTAGTGGTAGTAAGAATTTGCAAATTTTTTTCTCAGTTGAAATGTACAGAGGGCAGAAATTTTTAATTTGTACATGTAACAAAAGATTAAGTCTTAGATACTGATAGGTAGTCCTGCTGTAGTGTATTCTGTTCAACTGATCATGTGGGTTAGTTTGGTTTTGCAAATATTTACAGGTGCCAGCATAAAAGGAAGCTTTTACCTGACGTCAGTATATCTGTCGTCTTTTAATTAAATTGAAAATAATAGGAATTCTCCATCTAAATGGCATAATATAATATGTTATTTCCTGACATAACATATTTTTCATTATGTAGCACAGCTGCTTCCTTTGAACATGCGTCATAGAAGTAATCCCAAGATATGTTATTGCTCCTTTAGTACAAGTAATAGTATAATGAAGGGATTACATTACCAAAAAAAATAAAAAACAGAGGTTACAAAGATTTAAGCGATTTTTATTTGTTCAAAGTATGACAGTAATATAAGTGTGCCTGAAAAAAAATTTAAGCATCAAGCACCAGAAATAACTGACAAAAAAAAAAGAAGTTTTGGGAGTTGCCTCCCCCCCCTCTCTCTCTCTCTCATCATGGTCTCTTTTAGCAAAAAACTAAGGAAAAGATTTGAAAAATTAAAATACGTTATGCTAAGAGGGTGGTGAGTTTAAAATTAACTGATCATTATGATTATTTGGAATAAGCATGAAATGACCTTCACCTGACTGTAAAAAATAGGCAGATTTTAGTTCAAATCATCAGACTGATTTTCTAAAAAAAAAATAATAATAACCTACCAGTTCATTGCAGCCTTTATGTCATGGCTTGTCAATTTAGCATGTCACGACCAGATATCATAAATTGTCTTGGTGTACAAGAATATAAATTTTAAACAGGTCTCGGATGCCATTTGTGGAACTGACGGAGGGCTTTATTATCTTAAGGTTCATTCCCATTGAAATTATCTGTCTACATAGACATAGATCGATCCAACTCTGATGAATGCATTCAGATTTATGTATACTGACAGTCAATCAAAACGCATCATTTATTTATCAAATAATATTTTAAGTTCCTTTGGCACAGTAAGAAAATAACAGTTTTCGTTTGAAATATGTGAAATATGAAATAGCGATCAGCCCACTCTCTTATTAGACCAAACAAGTGCATTTGTACTTGTTTATATGGTTGGAATCGATTCTCGGTAAAAAAAAAGTACAAGAAAGTTTTCTGATGCGTTTTCATTGACTGTCAGTATATTAACATGCCTCCTCTCGTTTCCAATGCACATGTATAATTACCAGCTTTTTTTTTTTGGCACAATACATGACAATACAAAAACAAACAGACACTCGCTCACACACTCACACATAAGAGATGTTATGCTATATAACACTTTTTAGCTAATTACATCGTCGTACGCTAAATTACGCTAATTACCATTTTTTTTGTATTCTACTCAATGCCAGTAAGAAGTGTGTTAATCTCTTTATTTGATTACATTTAGTGAGAGCCCCTGCGGAGTTGGATCCATCTTTGTTGAGCGATAGTTTTATACGGAAAGAACCCTTAGGCACTAAAAAAAATTGTGGTTATGTACACAAAGATTGAATTTCAAGCTTGATTACATGAAATTTACCTCTAGTTCTGAAATGTTCATAGTTATTTTATACAGCTGTTTTTGAAATAACATTTTCCATTTTTTTTTTTTAATTTTCAGATGAAAAGGAAGCCTCTTGGAAACCACAACTAGAAATAGAGCTTCATCTCCTGATGACATCTGTGGTTTAGAGGGAACTGTTATCAAAATGAAAACCAGTTGGTCATGATTAATCATCATCACATCATGTTGAAGAATAATAGGAAATTGGAAAACTAAATCAGAAATTTTGAATTAAGAAAGAAGAAACAGAAAGCTGCCCTCGCCAGTTTGCTATAACACAGCTTTATAACTAATCATACAGTTATGGTTGTCCATGAAACATACGGAGCCGCAGTGTAGAATGCATCAATTAGAACAAGAATCCATTTTCATTCTTGACAGAATTGCTGTGGAAGTTCATGAGAAAGGTGGTTTATGCTTTATTAGCCTTCTCTGTTGCCATTCCTGACATTTATGAAAGTTGGCCCCAGGTTCAGTCTAGTCTATATAGATAAGGCAATAGTACAGTCAGTATTGCTGGGGTTATCCTTGGAATACAGCACCCAGGGAACGGGTTAAATGAACCCTGGGGTATTGAAAAGACGGGGTTTATTTTATCATTTTGTTTTCTAGTTTGTTGCAGCAAAGTGAACATTTCACAGAATAAAATCCTCTCAATATTTTTTTTTTCTGAGGAGTCTCTGCAGTCTTCTTGGGCTGTCAGTTGGGATATTTCCCCCGATGAGGCAGATGTCTGGATGGATTCAGTCAAGTTTAAATTTTCATTGAAGACTTCACCAGGTAACTTGGCAGGTGCTCTTGAACCCTGATCCTCTGCCAAGTGCTGGGGTGAGATGGTTCAAGTGGTGAATGGCATGCTCCCAGCTTGTGGCGGGGTAAAGTTGGTCAGGGTTATTCCTCCACCATGGGTGACATTCAAGACCAATTCAGATGCAGCCCAGGTTGGAACAAAATTGGGTCTGAAGTCCATTTCTGAACGACCAGATAATCTTTTAGTGATTTTAGTTATGACAGTTTCAGTCTACTGGTTGCAATGGAAAATCTCTCTGTAGACCAAACCCTACATGTGTATACTATGCTGTGACTTAGACAGTTAAGCCTGAGGTAAAATTAAGTTGTTTTTATCTGATGAAGCATCAAAAAAGTCTGATGTCTAAGTGTGGTAGAACTCACCTATACACTCACTGTAGGTGATATTGTAGTACACAAGTGTCTGAGGGGGATTTTATCTGCTAACACGATCCAAGAATGTAAGGGTATAGAGAATGCATTTCAGAGGTGGCATTAGCTTTGATTTAGTTTCAAGATTTAGGCTCTTGTGTCAGGGTTTGCACTTGTAATTTGTCGGTGTTTATGATTGCTGTGCAGAACACTGATTGGAAGTGGGTTTAGTACATGTGAATAACACGGTGCTATTTATATGCAAAGTTGCTCTCTAAATTTCCTTAAGGGAGGTAGTTCCATTAGTTGCTGTCACTGTTCTGTTTCCGATAATGTTTAATCACATTTTCCAAACTTAGTTTTTAAACATCCTGTCAAAAGCAGAATTATTCTTGAAAATGGATTCTTGTTGTTTGTAATTCCTTCATATTTAAGGTATCTATAATCATTATTATGTGTGGGATGATTTCATTTTTGCCACAATATCAGTCAATTAATTGAGTTCCTCAGCTTTGTCATCATAGTTTTATATTATTATTATTATTTTTTTTTATTTTACTCACCTGACTTAACCCAACAATACATTTTATTGTATAAATATAACTTCAATAATTATATATATGGACCTTGATGCTGTACAGAGAAGAAATACTAATGAGTTTGTCTTCATGTGCTAGTTGAAATACATGTGTTATGCTGAAATTGGATTAAATGTCCATTTTTGTTGAATATCAGAATTAAATCCTTTGCCCTGTTCAGCAATGAATTAAGAAAAATTGTTTATTGATGAAGATAGACGACTGCTCACCTTCCCTGTTATTTTTCTTTGTGGTAGATGAGCAATGAGGAGAAAACTAGGAATACTAGTAGTAAGCTCCTGACAGCTTGTGTACAGGGTGGAATTGCCGGTTCTTGCAGTTTGGGAATTGAGACACTGGAGTGTTTTGGCAAGGTGTATCTATCAATTAACTCTAGACATGTAAACCAGAGAGAGAACTTTGTATAGGTCGGTTAGGCCTCACACGGAGAAGGCTAACTTTTTAGAAGGAGTAATCCATTTTGTTGAGTAATCATACGAGTGGTGGAGCTCACATTGTGAAGAGTATCTAGAACCAGTAATATAATGTAATATTTGGTGCTTTTTTTATGCAGAAGGTTCACTTTTTACAGGGCACCTGCTGTCAGCCCATACTTTTTAAAATATAAAAATTACTTAATACAATTGCCGACATTTCATAGAGTGACACTACATATACTGAAATATATATTTAGAGGGCAATACATAATTGCATGTATGTAATGGACAATGTATTTGATGTGTAATTGGGTTGTTATTTAAAATTCTTTGCTATTTATATTTTTAAAATGACATACAGTTCAAGGTCATAAATAATTATGCTGATTAATTCTTGGTCAAACTTTTATATGAAGTTTTTACCCAACTCAGACTTTTTTAAATGCGTGTTTCAGTCTCATTTGAATATATTATATTATTTATATATATTATTATTAAGCTAGTTTTTTATTTTATTAATAAGTCTGTCAAAACTAGGAATAGACTTGTCTGGTTAAATATGATTTAGATTTGCATGAAGTAGATTGTTAGCCCATGATTATCATTTTATTGTACAACACCTGTGCAGTGTATATAATATAACTGCAGTTCTGTTCATATTAATTTTTGTTAATAGAGATGGAGCTTAATAAAGAATTAAGTGTAACTTGACTGGTGTGAAATTATCAAATATATTTGAACAGAATTGCCAAGTAGGCCACCTTTTTGTTGAAATCCTATTGACGTCATAATACTCTATAAATAAGCCTCTGAAGCCTTCAACGAGGTCCATGACAAGTTGGGATTTGTATTATCAAGGAATTAGATGCTCCGATCCGAGGTATTATAAGCAGATTTGTGTTCCAATATGACCCAGCAATAAATCCTCTTATATCGGTATAAGTAAATCTGAATAACATAAGTGATAAATGATATATTAGTGACAATTTATGAAAATTCTGAATTGCGATGAAATGGTTTTCAGGACAAGGGTTGGTCAGTTACTGGTATTCTCAAACTTTGGACAATTTCTTCAAGATGGCCACCAGCTTGCACCCTTAGCATCAATCACGTTACCAGATATTATAATTTTGAATCCTGCACATAGGTTAACAATATTGTCTGCAAACATCCTGTTCTCAGGGTACCATTTGATTACTTTTTCTGGAATGTGGAACACGTACAGAAGTGCCCTTCCTTTTGTTGTTCTTTTTTCACACTTTTGGAAAACGCCAAGAAGGTATGATGTGTCATTGACATGTGATATTTACTGGTGATAACCAAAATTGAATAAATGGTAATGAATGTCTGGACATTTATTGTACCATCTACATACCCTTCTTTTTAGTCCCGACCCGTCTTGTCTGTTAATCAAGGACACGTGAACGTGCACCTCGTCTATAAAATGACCCGCGTCTGGCTCTGCTTGTGTGTGCGACAACTCGAGAGAGTGAAGCAAAAACCAACTGTGCAAGAGACAAGCCAAGTGATGACATAGTCGAGAAAAATGCACAGAACGTGTCGGACACATCTGTGAATGTTTGGTGAAAAAGCAGTCTGTGGCCCCGGTAGAGGGCAGCAAAGGCCCGGGACCAGTATAATCTAGAACAAGAAAACTTCTCTTAGGTGAGTTAAAGAAAGGGTCAGTTAAACGTATATAGATATTTACTTCCTGTGTTGGATTTATTTATAATTGGTAATCAAAACTATATTTTTAAAATTTAGTGAGATTTATAGTTTGATTTGGTATTCTAGATTTTTTGTAAAGGACATGAAAATTTTCATGGAATGTGCCATGAATGAAATATTATTATTATTATCCCTGTTCTACCTCGTTATGTCTAATCACAGTAGTGAAGAGAATAACGGGATGTTGGGGCATGCTCTCCACTATCAAGATTCACAAGGACTGTCCTGACTTGATCTCAATCCACTTAAATAACCTTGAATATCGTTTACACGGCTACATGTCTAAAGCGAAGTTGGCCATATTATCTGCAAGTCAGAACAAAGGAGATCTGACAATTTGCGTGAGCGTGGTATTGTACACGACAAGAGAGCTCGTTGTTGTTACGCCCTTTCAGGCTTACCCAACTACCAGACTCGGCACATAAGAATCCTGAATTAACCGGTATATCGGACCACACTACCCGTTTTCAAGGTGTGTGTCAGATCGCATTTCGGAGTATCAGTCAGAACAACGACAGGATGATCCCACGCTCGGCTGTCACCTTGATTGGATAGTAAAAGATTGTCGTAAAATCGCTATATTATTTTAAAACCAGATGCATAAAACTGAAAACCACCTAGAACAACCTTAGACTGACACATTAATCTAATACAATGCAAAAAAAAAAAAAAAACTATCAAAAGTGGTTAAACCATTCAAACCGAATGTCGTAAAGTCCCCATATATCTCCATAGAGACAATGAAATAGAGTACTCTAAAGTAAGAGTACAGTCCAAGGTTGTTCTAGGTGGCTTTCAAATGTATGCACCCGGTTTTAAAATCATATAGCGATTTTACGACAATCGTTTACTATCCAATCAAGGTGACAGCCGAGCGTGGATGAGCCCGCGGTCGTCCTACTTAATTTGTTCTGGGGTATGATACTCCGAAATGAGATCTGACACGCACCTTGAAAAGGGGTAGTGTGGTCAGATATACCGGTTAATTCAGGATCCTTAGGTGCCGAGTCTGGTAGTTGGGTAGGCCTGCCTTTTGTGATAAAACAACCCCACATTATCAGTGTTACTATTTTTGTAACCTTGCTGTCATATTCTGTTATATTCTATATTATTCTGACGAGCGGTAGGGAGGAAAGATTGAAGAAGTTGAATTGAATTGCAGAAATCTAGACAGGAATCATTGTATGTGTGTGTGTATATTCCGATCACTTTGTCTGTCCATGTCGTGGCCGGTGTGACGTGACAGAAAATCCCCAATGATAGAGAGGCAGGTGCCAATTAATTTGCAGAGGTAGGCCTCGCCCTAGATTTTGACCCACTTACGTCTGGCTAACCCTAAACCATATAATATTAAACGGAGGGTGGAATCGCTGTCACACGGACCCTCAGCTTCGTCACACCGGTTCCGTCGATGTCGCCTTTCGAAACATCAATCCCTACAGCTGCCAGGTCGTGTTTTCGTTTAATTTAAATTCAATGACAGAGCAGATTTGTTTAAATTTGCTTAAAGAAGATTCCTCGCAAAAAATTGGCATGATAGGAATATTTTATGTAAGTAATAAGTATCAAAACCATATTTTGGTTTTACTTCAAATTTCCTGACTTTGTATATATATAAAGCAGGCTCCTTTCAAAAATCAGCATCATCAGAGTAATATCCTAAAAGTTTTTGGTTGTAATACTTATTTATTAACTTATCAATTTATTACTTTTTTTGTAAATATTTTTTTGCTGTTTGCTGCCTCTTTATTTGCAAGATGTGCTGTTTAGTTTATATTTGAAGTTGATCTCGTCAGCTGAATAACAACAATTGAATCAAAATGGTGTCATGAACTTTCCACTGCAGACCCAATTAGTATAAAGCAACATCAGTTACTTTTTTGTACGCTTTTCCATTCGCCCAAAAACAATTCAAGCTATTTTGAACAAGCCATTGCCCTTTAGCGTCCTTTACGAGCCTTCTTGTGTGATCTCCAGTCATGACTTTTGTGATAATTTAAGAATCCATATGTTTAAACCGCAACACCTTTAAGGGTGCAGTTCCAGTCGTGTTTAGACAAACAAGAAATAAAATTATAAAAATACAAAAAAGAACACCTATCCATAAAATGTGGACATGTCACACAGATAAGTTAATTATATGGTGCTGGAAAAGACGATTTCGTTTTCCTTTTGCAAAGCGTTGAAGATGTTTTTGGCACATATTATCTCAGATCATCGGTTATCATTCATAAGAACACGATTTTTTTGCGTATTAAACTAATAAAAAAGTAGGGTAGTTATAGGTTAGGCCTTGACAAATTTTCAGATTATCACGGCTTTCAACGAACGTCAGCAGTAATTAAGATTGACGTTGCTTCATATCCTGGCTTCTGATTGGACACACGCAACGTGGTATTTGATTGGCTGTGATAGAACCGTCCTTAATCCTTACGCCTTTGAGTCTCAGAACGGCAACAAAGTTACCTGGAGCCGAGTCTGAGAAGGGATTCTTATATGGCATATCTTGTCTGAAAAGTGGAATTTTCCAATTAGATGGCTGCGGGCAGGTACGTCCTATTTTGTAAATGAGTGGTTTGTACGGTATTAAGGTCTTTATGTTAATCGAGCTCAGTACCAAAAACTTGAAATGTGAATGTTTTGGCTATGATAACTGTTATTGGAAGAAAGGATGTCTTATGAAAAGTTAGAAATACACTATCGTTACTACACTCAACCCACTACACTCTAAACACTTGTTTTTATGCCTCAATATACAGTGATTTCATCTATGAATGCAAATTTCTTGGTTTGCTGGTAAACGCTGTAGGCTAATAAACTTAAAAGCCATCTCAGTGTCAGTTTTATGGCATTCTCAGATTATAGGTTTCAATCAATAAAAAGCAGAAAACATCCCAAATGATATTTTCAGTGCAACCGCATCGTATTGACTTGTGCTCTCTGGCACACACTGTTATCTTTTACTCACATGGTTTCGCTATCAACATTTGAGTAATTGGTACTTGACTGAAAAATCGTAATCGTATTTACCCGTATGTTTTGCCTCAAGTAAATGGCAGACAGTGTTATCATGGAGTGAAATTGAAAATAAAAGGCTCTTAAGATCGACTCTCAAACGTCAGTCTCACATATGAAGGTCTTCTCTGCGCTTCCGGACTGACTTAATATTTCACATTATGTTTGTTATTAGAATTTCATGTGCAAAGAACCTTAGAATTCGTCCATGGATAATAGTTTTGTTACAAACAAATCTGTTTTCATCTTGCACTTGTCGGGGGAACGGTTTCAATCAATATAATATAAATGTGATAACAAGCAAGATGGACCATCAGGCTTTGGTCACCCTCGAGGAGTGTGTTCGGTACTGAGTTCAACTCATTTATCCGATTGACAACTTCTTCCTACAGATCCTAGCTTCCAGTCTAAATATGCAAGAGGAAAAATTCGTGCAACTGAAAGCAAAATATTTTGTCCAATTGTTACGCTTCATTAAGTTTCACCCAAACTGACATTGCTGCGTTGACGTTCCATATTGACACATGATGAGTCCGTTACATATCACTGTACAGTCAGAGGCAGACTCTGCTTCAACCAAGAATCTTTGGAACATCTTTGAAGTCATCAAACACCATGCCTTCAAAATAGTTACAGCATGTTGAAGAAACAGATGCTTGTGACGCGCGCGCACGTGCACGCGCGCGAGAGAGATCTGACTTGAAAAAAATGTGTCCTTAAAACCATCCACTAGCATTTAACGGGATTTCTTTAATTCTGTCTCATGATATTGGCGTGTGTGTACAGGATTTGGCTTGTTATTTTATGGTCAGCTGTGTGCTTTATAACACAATGATAGGACCTAGTCCAAATATAAAATGACAGAATTAAAGGAAAATACCACCATTTTGGAGTTTTGACATGCACTGAAGATTTCCCCATTTTGGGCAAATTACTTGTACTCTTTGATATCTAATAATTATCGTTTAGCAGCTTCAGGATGTGTGCCAAACATCATAATATATAATTAACGTAAATAACATTAAGGTTATTGTTACCTTTTATTATCATCCAAATACCTAAAATGAGTTTTTTCTTGCATCTGATTATTCAATAATGCATCTAGCTTTGTGGTGATTTAAAACAATGAAAAACCCTCGAAAACATTAAATACTGGGCGTTATTATTTTTGCAATGTGTAAGTATAGGCAACTCAAAGCTTTAATCGTCAATTAAACACCTTTCTATTTTGATGTGAGATAGCAAACGGTATGGGGCGTAACTTCATCCCTGAATGAGATTTTATCACGAAAATTGGCAGAGTTGACCACGAACGGCTAAGCTACAGTCCCGTGCTGTTGTTTTGCTTTAAATGTTTTTGTTCTGTAGTTATGAGCCCCCTAAATACAGATTTTCATTAAACAAAGGCATTGTGTTGCTTTATCAACAATAAAATCTGAACTTTTAAGAAAAATCGCTGGCAGGGTTTTGGAGTACTAAATGGTGTCATTAAATCGGCGTTAAACGGTGATCGTGGGTGCTCAGGTAAAAGAGAAATTTGAGAAACTGATTTTCAGTTCTTACCCCAAAATCGCAATTATGATGTCACCCGTAAGATGAAATATGTGTAAATGTTAATTAATTTAGTCGCTGAACACTGAAGATTTATTTATACTCAGAAGAATGTATGTAAGGCAGTAAATATTTAATAAGGAGTTTTGGGCGAAGGGCGACAATATCCTAAAGCTGAAAGCAATTTAGCGAGAAACCCCTCGGAGATAGATCGTTCCTGTTAGATCGATCTGGGTATGGGAACCCAGTCTAAAAAGCTGCCTTAATTATCCTGGCATTAACAGTCGTGAGTCTTCACTCGTGTATCTCAGTTCACCTGCGGTTTTGGTGTCAGCAAGATTTTAAGGTGCTGAATAAAAGAATTATACGTGTTATTTATTTTTGCCTCACTAAATACATGTAAATAAATAAATAAATAAATAAATAAATAAATAAATAAATAAATAAATAAAAATAAAAAGTCGCATGCCAAATTAATGATCTCCATTTTTAATACCGTTAGTTGCAGTTTCCTGGATGACGGCCCAGCTTTTATCTATTTGATGAGTAAATATACTAATGGGGATAGAAGAACGTTACATAGCATATCCATAGTCAAGACTGTGTGTGGTGGTAGGAGTCTCACGGAAGGTGAAAAAATGACCCCACCCTTTAAAGTTTCCTGATAGAGGTCAAAACATATATTCGGGAAAAAAATGAGACCAAGAACGGACTGCAAATATACAGAAGAATGCTTCTAAATGAACTTCTCTCAGAGAATTCAGGTGAAAATCCTTCGCTTAAGATGGTGAAATATATAAAATGCTACACCACGAAAGAATAAAAAGCCAGTCGGCATTTAATTATGATGAACAGATTTTGAATCATTAATAAAAAAGGGGAAACAAAATATCATATCCTCGGTTCTCTTTTCTCCGATGTAATTATATAAAAGGGAGCCTAGTCATACCCGGTTTAATACGTTTTTTTTCTGGTCGTAACGTGTTTCTACAGTTTCCAGTGCTCGTTTTTCAAGAAAAATGTCTGCAAGTTCTCGCAAGGAATCGAATACCCTTCTATTCACTGCTATTATTCTTGGAAAGTAAATATCTGGGTCACAAAGCCCACTGAAGCATATTCTCTTGACAGAAACTTGTTCTCGGGAGATCTTTCGAGAGTGCTTGCCTGATAGTTTCTCGTAGTACTTTTCGCTAGGAAAGAAAAATCGCAAGAAAACTCACCTTTCATAATAGGTGAGTTTCTTGCTTCTTATGCTTTACTCATTGCAAAAAGTAGGCGGAAGAAGATAAATGTTATTTATTCAAAGAAAAAAATGCGATCAGAGCACTTATGCTGTTGTGGTGTTAGTTTTTAAAAATATGCCTTAATGAGTGAAAATAACTAAATCGTTTTCACGTGTGTCTTTTACACATGTTTCATCGCTATGTTGCAATTTTCACATTCCTTAACAACTGCAGAGGTCGGAACGATTTCTAATTTATAGAAATGAACATCATTTCCCTATCTATTTCGCAATAAAGTTATGAAATAGCGCACGTGACGCAGTGTTTGACGCATAGAGAGCGTGCTGAAGACGTACTAAATACTTGCCTAGAAAAGAGTTTACTTGTTTACTTGCGCAGTGAAGATATCACTATATACAGATAATTGGTCAGTGATGACGCAGTGTATTGAAATAATAGATTGGTTGCTGTAATTTCCAGCGTGTGGTTTACTGCAGCGCGCAGTTGCCATGCTGTCTCATCTTTGACATTTTGTAAAATTTCCTTATTATATATCGACATCATCCCTTCAATGCACGCTCTTGGTAACAAGGCACCTGTAAAGGGACCGTTCCCAAATAATTTTGTCGACCTAGCCAATGCGTACTAACTCTACTGGGACTCTCGCTGAATGCAATCAGATTAACAGACTTACATGCCTCATCCTGGCGTCGAGTACAATGCAAAAATCTGGTGATTAAACAAATAAGTTGGAAAAAAGAAGAGTTTAAGTCGGTTGGTCTGATTGCATTAAGCGAGAGTTCCCCGTGGTTCGAGTCGTTAATTTAGGCGTTCGAACTCAAAATTCTGAGGCTCGTGATCGCAAACGGCAAGTATCGTATTTGAGGCTTGTTTTATACCACATGAATTGACCTACGCAGGCATCATCCTATGCTTCTGAAATGAGCGCGTGGGCGCGCTTTTGATAACAAACCGTGTACTTTAAATATGAAGTTTTTGCATCGGAAGGCTCACCACCAAAATGGAACTAAAATCAGGGCATTTAACAGCTCCGTACTTGAACAACATTTGCCGACAACATGTAATGTAGGAGGAGGAGAGCGAAGATATGTATATAGATACACTGTGCATTTATCTGAAGTTTTTTGTCTTTGTCAAAATGTCAACGTCAAGTGTACTAGAATGTGTAGGCTCATCCATATCCTCATGGAGGGAAATTAAGGGTAACATGATAATGCCAGTAGTTCACACTGTCAGACCCACCAGATTTTTGTACCCCAGCAATTTTCTGACCTTGACAGGCACTTAACCAGCAATTTCAAAAAGGGGGGTCTTTTTCTGAAAATGTGGAGTTTTTTCCATGAATCCTTCGTGTACCTAGATAAAATTTTATCCAGAGGGGACCACTTTCCAGCAAAAAATGGGGTTTTACTCCATGAAGATGCAGAGTGGCCACCATATTCACCGGACTTACCCCCAACTGCCTCTATTCTCTGGAGTACATACAAGAATTAGCAAAGGTTTATGTCAATCCCAGACTTATTAAACTTAATTGACTCCAGGATTCTATCGTCCTATTCGTCGAGAAACTCGCAACATCCCTCCCAGGCTATTTAAACGGATTAGGCGTTAACTAAAACTACACGCAGATCTTTTAGCACTAACGCCCATATTAACAACACACTCTCAAATTAACCAGCACACCGTACGGTTATTTAGCACCAACAATACGATACCTAGCACTAACATTCGTCCGCTCTGGTAGCGCTGTAGGTTTGGTGGATAATATGGGTGTTGGTGCTAAAACATCTGGGGGTAGTGTTAGTAAAAGCCTCCGGCCTCGGGAAAATTATATAACGTAGTCGCCCAATGTAGTTACGTGGCTGCTTCTTTGCGTAAATGCTGTTATTAACTTTGTTACTTAGAGTAATTATGTTTTTTGTGTAAAGTCAGATCTTACATCGCGTGACTTACGGTTATTAAATGATATACTATAGAAGGCTCTTGGCAGAGTTCCGGGAGATTAGAGTTAAGACCAAATGGAAGACAGACGAGAGTTTCGAGGTTGGGCGAATAAAACATTATATTCGTCCAAGATCACAGATGTAAAAATGATGACTGATGTCCAGTTTATGGAGGCGGTGAAAGAAAAGACTGGTGAGCAAAGTAAAGGGACAGTAATCATAACTCTTAGACCTGTCCAATGTAATTATGTAGTTATAGTATGTCGGTTATCTGAATTTCATGGCTTTTTAAAAACGCCCTGCATATTGTAAGAAAACACGGAAATATATCTATATACAAGTATACGTGTATTTTATCATATAGTGTTCTTGCATTTACGTCATATACATTGTTACCATTGCTGTGGTGTATTTGCTGCAAAATAATAATAAATAAATAGATAAATAAATAAATAAATAAAATAAAATAAAAAATAATAATGGTGTTCAATTTTGTAATGAGTGCCAGGTTTGTAACAAAAAAAAAATTTAAGACGAAATTTTCATGCGCAGGGTGGAATAAAATGTAGGAAGCACGGCCTGAAATTTCACAAAATTATGCTGAATACTTTCTGATATTCCAAAAGCTGAAGTTTGGATCCCGTGTTTTTGTCCACTCGCTAAATCTCTATACTTTGCATGGAAATGCCGCGGCATTCAAAAGCCGATGTGTATCGTGGCGCACATTGATAACGTTAATTAACGATCGTGCCTACCCTCCAGAGGCCGTCGCGCTGGGAAAGATTCTACCCCTTGACATAGAGTGCGAGTTTCATTGTTGCCAGATCTTATATTAAGCTTGAAATGTCCTCATAAAGCCTCAGTATTGTGGTAAAAACTGTTTGCGTCTTGCTTCATCAATATGAAGGTTTTTTTAAAATTTCTTAGAAGAGCANAATCGAGGCCGTCGCGCTGGGAAAGATTCTACCCCTTGATATAAAGTGCGAGTTTCATTGTTGCCAGATCTTATATTAAGCTTGAAATGTCCTCATAAAGCCTCAGTATTGTGGTAAAAACTGTTTGCGTCTTGCTTCATCAATATGAAGGTTTTTTTAATTTCTTAGAAGAGCACAGAATGCTCATCTAAGCATGTTTTACTTTGACTTTCGTTTTTTTGCGTTATAATGAATTTGGAAAATGAGTTTGGTATGTTTTTCTTCCGCATAGACTAGCTTACAAAAGCTATGAACCCGTTATCAATTAAGTCACTATAAAACATTTCGCAGCCTGTGAATAAATAACTGTCACTAACAGTTGTATTATTGAAAGCAAAAGTTGCGACCAGGACAACACCTAAGTTATCAATTTGAGTACTTCTGCGAAAAGAAAAGAAAAGACACAGCATCCAGTATAAAATTATAAACAAGCTATGAAAGTAAGATTACAGTTTGTCAGATAACACACAGAGAGAGAGAGAGAGAGAGAGAGAGAATTTGATTTGATGCGTCCTTATTGAATTCTTCTGGCAAAACAAGACCTGGTGGGTTTATTTCCTGTTATGTGTCTGATTACCTTCTTTCAGGTAATTGCAACTACTTATGAGACATTGCCAATGCCATTTATATTATCAAATTGAAATAAATGTAAAACTTCCCTGTTAACATTATCACATTCTGTTGATACTCTAGCTTAAATTTTCATTTTCAGGATAGCTCCCACATGAAAAGAACGTGTCGGCTTTTCCAAGAAGGACAATGCTGGGCAATTATTAAGATTCTTATTGCACTCAAGACATTCATATTAATAACGATGGGGAAATCATCGGACGTATATAATACTGTCACGATATCTGACCTCAGGTATAAGAGACTTAAGCGCTCCTGAGATGTTCGACATAGTCTTGGTTGTCCAACAACGCAGTCTCTAAAACGCAAGGGTGCTAAGCGACCTTGACCAGTCTACTCATGAACTGTTTGTGGTAACGTTTTGAGCTTCTGCTGGGTTTTCAACGCCAAAAAGATTGTATAAATGATAGACAAGATTCCCGGTGAATGCCAGTCTCAAGGGGAGAAGAGAGGCTCCGAGCAGAAGATTGAAGACCTCGACTTCTGAAAAAGCAACACTTCGAGCAGGCAGAATCAATGCTGCAACGCAGCCGTGATCATTTATTTATATTCACAAAACTATTGAAGTCAGAACTGTTTTTTACATGAAAACGGTTTTTGATAATTCTGGCCAAGGCTTGAAAAACGTTTTATTCTTTAAAGACACGCGCAGTTATTGGAAATGAAGAAACGGCGGGGTCGCGGTTGAAAAGGGAAACCTAAGCACGCATACCGTGGCTTCATAAAAACACATAAAAACGATATATTTTCTGTGGGGTTACACAATTAACCGCGTGTTTTAGTAATATCTCTCAACGATAAACAGACTTGTTGTCGTTTTATTTTGCCCGACGTTACGCTCTCCCACTCCCTGAGCGAACATGTGAAGAAAAACCGAGTCCGCTAAAAGAAGGTTAAAAACAACATGGAGGAAAATAACTGTTGGCAGAACGGCCAACATTGCTGGTGCACCGTTATTTACTTTTTCACTGCATTGGCGTCCATTAGCAGCACGTTGACAATCGCCGTGGTAGTCAGGAGCCCAAAGTTGAGAGGAAGATCGACTTTTGTTTTCTTGACCTTCATGGCTGTCGTGGACCTGATGACGCTCGTCGGAATAAGCATTTACTGTTCCTTGGAACCCGTCACCCAGTTCTGGAACACGAACACCAAATGTGTTTATTATTCTGCTATTTACTGGATAAACGACAGTACTGTCATGTTGTCGTGTATTTTCATCCTCATGGTGACTGTGGAGCGCTTTGTCGTTGTTCACTTCCCCATACGAGGTAGAGAGATATTCACCCAGAGGAACGCGATACTTCTAAGTGTCTTTGTGTCAGTCGTCGTTTTTGCCCTCAACAGTAATGCTTTCTGGAGTTTTGAACCAGATCACCAGACCAATAAATGCAACGACACTGAGGTCTATGAACGATATCTGAAACCTATACGGTATTATTCTACCTTTGCGGTGACCACCGCCACTTGGGTTTCTCTGGTTGGCTTTTGTTTGGCCATCATTTACAAGTTGCGAGCCACGGCAGCCCTTAGGCGGCGTCTCTCTTTAACTGACGTGCACACGAGCTTCAAGAGCACTCACCTGATGCTGCTCTGTACCGCTTTCACTTTTGTGGTGTTAGTGGGCCCCCTCTGCATCGTCGATGTAATCCACGTATCCCTCTATCTCCTTAAGCAGGATGACACTCATTTGACTTACATCCGAGAAAATGTATTTCTTCTGAGCAAGCTCAATCACTGCGTCAACTTTGTGTTGTACGTAATGACAGCCGCAGTGTTTCGCGAAGAATTCTTTGCCCTCCTCGCCTTGGTGACATGCCGCCGTGAAAAGGAGCAATCGCCTTACAGACAGGGAGCTCAAAGTTGTATTGAAACAAAGATAACGCATTTCAGCGAGCAGAAGAGACTTAGTGATTTTTAAGACATAGGTTGACATAAATGTCACAAGCAAACACGCACATGATCAGTCTAATATGACTGAATTTTTCTATATTGATATCATTCATATCTTTGGAAGGTGGTGACTCTGTTGTAAGTTGAGTAAAGTACTATTGTTGTAAAATGATTTTAAATCTGTTTCTGTGTTGTTTTTTAAACAATAACAGACATTCTTTTACTAAATTTAACCGTCAAAGAGTCGCCAGGTTATAAAACAGTGTCGTGACGAAGATAAATATGTATGTATCAAATTGTACGGTTTTTAAAACCCCGTTTTTCAAATGTACTCTGATAAATCCATTTATCTATATTAAATTATCAAGTAATTATCTGATCTTATTCTTATGCCACTATTTACATCAATGGATAAGTGCCGCATCCTGTCTGTGATGAACTAATACCGTGGTAATTAGCCAAATCCCCTTTCAAGAAATGTCAGAAAACAGATTAATGAGATTTCATGCAAAAACGCTTCATGTAATGCGGTTGCTGTGATCTACAAGTGTAATCATTGCTACGCCATCTCCTGTCACAACTAACACATTCACTCTGAACAGCTTAGGTAAAAAAATCGTTCTGGGTTGGTGAAATATGCGATCTCCTGCACCCTAACAGTGACATAAACAGAAGAATAGACTTCATTGGTTAAAGATATACTGTATGCGTTTAAAAATGACCCAAAGTCATTTTTTCTATGTCTACATATCCTCCAAAGCTATTTATCTTCCCTAATTCTGACCTAAAAAAGCTATAAAACACCCTCAGATAAGAGTAACTGACACTGATAGTTCCTTCAAATATGTAAAGGGTGACGTGGTGTTCTAAATGACTGGCCAAAATTTGGAATAAAACATCAAATTCAAGTACAGGGACAAAGTGAATGATGATTTGCACGTTGGAGAAATTGCTAAATCTCCCCAAAGAAAATTCATTTTAGTGAAAAAATCTCGCTTAAGAGTACCTTTAAACTTGAATTATTCTGAGGGACACAGATAAGACGTGTTAAAAGTGAATCAGTATTTAATTTTTCAACAGGCACGTAATTTTTACAAACCTTTCATAAATGTAACCAACTTTTGGTTTCATACCATGAAAACATTGTTTTTGAAATACCCCCCCCCCCCCCCCAACATTTGAACGTATGTTCAAGCACATGCCATATTTTAAGGTCTATTAAATAAGATACATTTGTCGGTGGTTATTTAGCAGTGAATTTTGTCTAAAATGTGGCCTATAAAAGGTGATGGCTATCACTTGAGCCAAGGACTACTCCTTCAAAACAAATCTTGATGACAGTTAATAATTTTCTCAGCAAGAATGAGTAATGCTTTATCTTGAAAAAAAAAACACACGACTCATGAATGCATATTCAGTCCTTTAAATGTTGAATAAGCCAGACCAAGAACAATGATAATTATTTCAATTAAAAATTCAACTTTATTTACAAAATTTTACATAAAAATATTAAAACATTTATTCAGAAAAGAACATTCACTCTGTTTGCTCTCATGATGAAATAAGAACAATGATAAAATAAAACATTCACCAAGTGAGAACATTAATATTGACAAAGTAAGTGGCAACTCAAAGTTCAATTTTTCCAATAATATGCACACCATATTGGCAATTTAACATCCATCTCCGATATATAACGGCGACACCGACGGTCAATATATTCATATGAACTAATTAGTTTACTAGGTACTACATGGCATAGCCTTAAACAGCACTTAGTGTGCATAGTTTTACAGTTTCTTTAATCACTTCAGCATATTTTTCTTTTTTGCCAAAGATGTCCAGGTTTACATAAATGAAAATAATATTACTGGTAGACTTTGACAGAGATTGTATTAATTTTACTACAGCAGAAATCTGCCATTTCTGGGCACAGATATACAGCTTGTGCTGTTTTATCTCTTTGTAAAGAGAACAGTTCAAACACCAACTTGAGACTACCAGGGCCACCGTATTGTGCTCCATATGGACCTGGACTAGGCAAAAAAACATCTAACTATTAGCACAAATCACCGGCCATTTTATGACTGGTTATTGGCATCGCCCACGACTGAACAAAAATAAAAAACTACATCTACCTATGTATGTGTATATATATATATTCAATGTTAATATAAAAAATTGCATTTTAGTAGAAATAATAAAACTTCTAGGTAGCAAATGGGACTCTTTGGTTAGGCAATAAATGATCTAGAGTTGTCCAAACAGCTTTTCAGCTGGTGTGAAAATTTAATATAAATAGCAAGCCAAATATTAAAACATGACATGAGAAGGCACATCAGAAGACTTCAATATTCTCATTCTGGACTGGTCAAGATTAACAAGAACAAGTACGAATACATGAAATGCTGATCAAAGATTCTACCTTCCTTGGTTTCATTAAAAAGCAGTGCACACAGAGAAAGTGTTAAAAGAAACTGCCTGCCACAAAATAGATCATCACCCTACATCCAGCAGTCGCAGTTGCTGACCCATATTATTGCCACTGACACCGACATAATTGCATGTTATAATGAGTATTTTCAGGGGTGAAATATAGCACCAATGTAAATAAAATTTGTATTAACATCGCCAAAGTTTTGACTGCAATCTGTACAATAGTACAATTTTTGTAAGTAGTAATAAAATCATGATGATATTTTTAAAATACACATTGCAATTGGAAAAAAATTAAGATGGCGGGTGAACTATACCACCATGTCCTGAAAAAACATTTGGTCGATGTCAAGGCACAGTTGGTTGGGGTCTACGCAACTGCTGGCTGCTGATACGGTGGACATATTCTGAGCATTTATTTTCTCTGCAGTTACATTCAGCTCTTCCTCAACATCCCCACTAGAATATTCACTTCCAGTGGACTCAGAGTCTGAAAACCCATCCGAGTCCCTGTGCTCACTATTGGAGTCCCCGCTGTTGCTATGGTAATCTATGTCACTACTGAAATGTACTTTGGTATGCATTTTTCCATGATCATCTGCTTCCTGCCTCCCACTTCCCTGAACTCTTGGAATATTTTGGTTGCACACGTTATTCTCTGAGACCACTTGAATTGCACATGGAGGGACCTGCGATACTCGGCCAATGTTTTTCTTGTTGCCTTGGTTATTGTTCATAAAAACACCACTATCTGTGCTCGTGCGATTTTTATGGAAGCGAGCATTTGGATGGAGTATGGATTTTGGCTGGTAAGGATCTCTTGCTGGTGCATATTTTTTGGCTGGTGAAAGAAAATTAAAATAGATTAATATGTAATTCTTCCAAGGTAAAAAGTCTGATTAATACCATTAATACCATGTATACAAACTCTAAAACAATAAGTGCTTACATCAAACTTTTAAATTTATAAGAGACTCAGATTTGATATCACAATTCTTTTGATACTATGAACTTTATAACAAACCGTAAATACTGAACACAGTAAAATAAAAAGATTCTGCAGAAATAACCATCCAAGTAGTAACATATTAACACAAGCACATAGAAAAAATGATAAGACTACGTCCCCCTACCTCTGACTTGCTGGCCCTCCATGCCCTGTGTCTCCTCCTCGCTGTGACCCCTCCCACTGTCTGTATTAGACACCTCTCCAGAACACTCACTGTCTATGTCTGTGTTAGAGGTACTTTGATTAGCTGGCTTCTTTAAAATGTCTAGAAGTTCTTGGGCCTGAAAGTACAAGAGGTGAGGTCAACTGCTAGAATTGCAGTAGATGTGCCACATCCGAAGACAACCAGTCCCAACCACACTGCCATGTTCACTACCCATTTCATGTATTTAAGACAATATTGACAAGGTAATTTGAGTGAAGGTGATTTTGTATACTACTGTTCCAAAGAAAATTTCAGTCAAATATTTCGTTAGACCAAATTTTCATGGTAACAGATTTACTGTAAACAACTTTCAGAAGAAGAAAAAAAAAAAAAAACATTCCCACAATGAATGCCAGAGCACTTTACACTTGAATGAACCATTCCATGCCCTTACCTCCTTTTCTTTCTGAGAGAGCACCCAAGGTTGTTGCTGTCTGTTTCCTTTCTGGGGCACCTTGTGAAGGGCCAGGGCATTCAGCTCCTGGGGCTTGTCCCTGGCATACTCAAATATCAACTCAGGAGTCACTTGGAGGAGGGAACTGGTAGCTTGGGGGTTCTGCAAGGAAAAAATGATTTAAAAACTTAAATTAACACAGAATTAATATATCAGGTAAATTCATCCATTAGAAAATGTACATATAATAATTCCATGCCCCTTTTTAACAAAAATTTTAAAGAAAGCAACAATTTTGAAATGAAATAATCATTTTATCAATTTTGCTGTGCCTACTAGAATTCATTCATAATTTGTTCAGAAAAATATTATAACAGGTTCCAAATCGTGCTCTTGAGGCCCCTAGTACATATCATAACCCACAACAACCACACAGATAATATATTACTCCATCTCTTAATTGATCAATTATTACCTAACCCTCAAAGAATTGCCTAACTTTCCAATTTTTCATATATTCTCATTATCAACAGTTCCAGTATTGTACACCACCCCTCAAGCTGAGCTGTTGTCCTGCCGGGCATTCTTTTCTGCTATTTGTTTCATAATACAAACAATACAATACTATTCTCAGCCAGGTGCAATGCATGAAAAACAGTGCTCCACACTAACAAGGCAATTAGATACAGATATATTCCTATTTATTCTGGGAGGTTATGCAAGATGGCTGCATGCACCTGAAACGCCTCACGGGCTAACATCTCTTTAAGTGCTGTTGTCAAGGTGCCCCAGGGCAGAGTGGACACTGAGTGGACGCTGAAGTCAGTGAGGAAATTAAGGGGTAGAGGACATCCCTTGCTGGGCCCAAGGTGAAGGCAGTAAATAAGGCGGAGTGTTTGTTGGTCGCATCTCTCAGGAAGCCCTAGGAGTTCCTGCGTCACGGAACAGTGGAGGGTCTATCTATGTGAGAACACATCTGCCCCTAGCACTTCATGTTATCATTATTTTGTAACACCAGTACTTTTTTTTTTCTTTATTAAAATTTGACAAGGGGAGAGACAGCTGTCTGTGAGACCAGTTTTCAAAAGATGATCATAGAATGGTGGAAAATTACACTGAATTGGAACGGTTTGAAATTTTTCTCCACCATGAGTTTTGAGGCAGTATTAACATTTCATCCTAATTGTGACAAAAAAATCATAACCTTACTAAACCACATCCAACAAAGACAGAATGCCTCTTTTTAAAAAATCATAATAATTGTAGCAAGATCTTGCTTTCATTTGATTTCCTTCAATAACTATTTGATACCTCGAAACCTTATTGGTAGAAAAACATGTTAACTCTCCTTAACAAGATTTACTAGTTATTATACCACACCTGTAGGCACACAGAAATCAATCTATTTAATTGTGGCATCAGTGTCACTCAGCAGTAGGCAAAGGTATAAATACACTAATCTCTGGTTCATCACCACAAAGCAGGATTACTTCATTCCACATCATACACCTATTGACTAAGCATCACCATGGACATTCATAATTAAGTCACTGGAAACTTTGTGCCCCAACCTCAAGTTCAAACCACTTAAAAACCTAAGCTTTTTCCTTGTAACAATGCTGCCAACATCTGCGGTGACAGAGATGCCTTGAAGACAGGGGCAGACACATGCACAGACATTGAGCCACCTTGAAGACAAGGAGGTGGGTTGGAATAAACTCGATTCTCTTTGATCCCCTGTAAACTGATCTCATCCCAGGAGAAAAAAAAGCAAGTCTCTACATACAGGTCTCTTTTATTAAGCCAAGCAAAAATGCTTCTTAAAAGGGATGCCACCAAAGATCTTTCAATATCCTTCTACTCCATCCATGCCCGAGGAAAAATGGGGCAGCAGAGTGAGTCTTTTACAAAAGGGATAGAAGACTCCACTGTGAAACCTTGAAATGGAATATTTTGATATCTTTCTCCCCTCCCTGCCCTCCCCTTGTCTATCAGATCACATAATAATAAGGTGACCAGACTCTGAGCTGGAGTGTAATGATTAATGATCAGTTAATTACACAATGATTAGGCTCGAGGAGTAGGGAGGCAAATGATCAATTACTGGGCCTGGTTATTAAGGTGGGATTTTAATGAGGAGGGATTATACCCACCACATAAACCCTCACCTTTGACTGGATGCCTACAACATCAGTTCTTCTTTATAATGGTCTAACTGTCATTCTCATTACTTGTGTTTCTCTTTGTTCAATTATTTCTTGATTTTCAGAACCATTCAAATTGTTTTATATGACATATTGTTCGACTACCTTCATTTTCCCCCCCCCCCCCCGGCAAGGCAACATTTTTATCTTTTGTTTTATAAATAAAAATGTTTTGTGTTAAGAAATGCTTAACTTTTTCACTTTTTCACTGAAATTCTTGACAACTAACGTAGTTCCACCTTTTACAATAATGATGTTGGCATATTTGACTGCTTATTTTTTCCTACCACAGCAATGAGGGATTATATTGTATTACAAGTACTGAGCTGGTATGAAATAAGACACCCAACTGTGGTTACATGTGACAAGGAAAAAGCATGACACTAATATAAAGGATTCAATAGTTATATGTCTCACAAAGTTTGACACATAGGAAAGGAGGGTAGGGGAGGGGGGTGGGTGGGTGGATGGGGGTCATGTTATAATTTTATAGGTATCACTAACTTTTAACAACTTATGCCTCCATCCAGAAGTGCTCATATGAGGAGCTGGGGAGGGGTAGAGAATATGAATTTATTTCGATATTTTCAATAGTATCTGTGTCATATTTTGTTACAGTGTGAACATTCTTGTTTTATGCCTGTCCATCAATGTTTGTTTTTATATGAGATTTGAGTATTTTTATTTTACATGTAAATCAGTATTCTGATTAACTGAAAGAAAATTGCTCTTGAAATTGATGTCTTGCTACCTTTATTCTTTTTTGCATTTATTAATATTGATACCTTGAGCGCTATCATCTTCTATATTGTTTGATGTTTGAAAAATTTTTTTAGCCAAGATCAGCACAATTATTTCTACCTTTGAAAAAAGAGTACTATTTATGTTAAAAAATGAATTTAATTATTCCAGAAATTTGAATTTTGTTGGCTACTCTTGGCAAAGCACAACTGAAGCCAAGGTGGTTTATTAATCACAATCCTGAAGAAAGAAGAAAGATGGCCCTTTCATCAAACATTCAGCCTTACTTCACCCAAAAGAGGGAATGTCTTTAAAATTGATGGGTTTGATGGGAAGCCATCTTCCCACTTAAAAGCCCATATTATGACACAGAAAGTGGAGAATTCTGGGCCATCCAAGTCTTGTGTTACACAACTAAGTTTTCTCAATGGACACATACCAATTATATACAACATAAATCTCTCTAAGTAAGTTTGTACTAAGAAAATTAGCAGGAGACAGACTTAGAGGCAGAAATGATACGGAGACCCAAAATGAAATTGAGACCGAAACTGTATCTAACAATGAATTCATCGTTTACCTGGATCATTAGTATCTGTCAATTTTTATAGGACCTAAACTCTGCCAGGTATAAAAGACACAGAATAACCTTACAGTTGGTAGTTGTTCCTGTTTTAAAGCCTGGTAATCCACCTGCTGACTGCAGTTAACTGTCAGGTAATAACCTTATTACATGCCTTTAATGAAAGTACTTAAAAGGGGTGGAAACTTAGACTACACAGACAGTTGCGCTAATTTTTTTTTTAACCTGACCATTCATCATTGTTAACAAAGTAAAATACTCAAGTTACAGTGTAATTACAGCTGTAAAATGGTAGCATGGTCACTGGGGTTTTTAACTGATAATATTTCAGTTTTATATGATTTCAAGCCCCATTTGTGCAGTCAACAGTAGACCCCTTTTTTCTAGTCCATTCTTCTTTGTTGATTAATTTAGTTTTTTTTTCTGCCTTACCACCTTGGTAAAAAAGTTACATTTGTTTCTTTATAATAATAATCTATCACTACTTTTCTTCTCATTTATTAAAAAATATTGGCATAAATGTTACTCACAAAATACAAAGGGAATATTTTGTGAGTAACATTTGTCCAAATAAGGGTCAACATCACTTACGTACCTACAACATTTACAAAGTAGAAAAGAATACCTGTTCACCTGTCTAATGCCAAATATTTCAATTAGCGACCCGAGAGAAATCACAAAAGACGGAAACATTTCGCAGCATTCCTGAGTCTGAACTGATTGGTTTTTGAGTCATGAATCACCCTGTTAGACTCCTACTTTCAAACTAGGTGTCTACAGGCTCCAAGTCCCTTTTCTATCCATTGCCCACAATCAAAGTCATCAACACACTCATCATGTGTGAAAAACCAACTAAACAAACCACAACACTAACAAAAGTGGAGGAGTTTTTGTTTTGTTTTCCAGGCAAATTCTTAAATACCCCTATGTGTATACCTGGTGGTGGTCAATACCAGGTAGAACAAAGAGACCCTGGTCAGAAGTGGGAGTGTAAATATGACACCTATGTGCCAGCCTCTTTGATCTACGGGATTAAGATTACATAGAGTTAGCCGTGATGAATTGTCTTCAGCCTGTACAAATGGTGATATTATGAAGGACTTATTTCAAACAAAAATCAACGCTCTAAATCCTGCAGGTGGCTACAACAAGGTTTAATTTTCAATATTTGTGCAGGGAAGTTCTCTCTGAAGCACTGTGACAACACTTAAATTTGTCATATCTGTGTTAAAATGTAGTCCAATTACAACTGATGCTGAAGGTATTTAACTTTCTCTTTAATAATAATATGAACATAAAATTCATAAAATTGTAAATATAAGAAGTGAAGAATTTGAATGAATTTGTTAAGCATCACATCTCAAAGATGCAATGACTAATTTTATCTTTCATTGTGTGTTTTTTCTATGTAGAAAGTAATCTCCTGTCTGGTAAGTCAAACTTTTAGTTCAAGATGACTGTTCAATCATGAACTGCCTACCAATTTCTTTCCTTCCTGTAACTCAATCACGTAATTTCTGCTATAACCACTCGAAGCTAAAATTCACACCAAAGCATGACTCTCTTCCCCAAAACAAAGTAAAATCGGAATCTATATTAGTCAGCATTTCCGTCAACCATTTCTGATTTCTACATCCCATTTAATATTTGATGGAGATAAAAATCTACCGAAGGCCCTATTCAGACAGGGAGGAATTTTACGGATGATTCTCTTTCAACAGAGGCCCAATGCAAGCTATTGTTAGTGTAAATGTAATGCACAATGTATGACGATCCAATTTCAACGCTATGGTTATACTACATGGTTTGTAACTAGATTGTCCCCGACATAATTCCTAGACATAAATGTTGCAGGTGGATGACCCACCTTATAACAAGTTATTAGTTCTTTCTTCTTTGCATCGCAGGGGTGTAAAATATTAACAGATCTTTAGAGGCCATGAAAATGAGAAAAAAATGCAATATCATTCATAGAATTTTCAACATGAAATTAAATGCAAACATCTCTTATCAAAAGGAAGAATGAAATATTTGTTCAAAAATGTTTTTTAAATTGTAGCAAAAGTGTAATGTTTCTCTTTGGTTTTTGATCTGTTTCCACACAGAGTGTATGGATATTGACAGAGTACCACCCTTGGGCCAAGCAGGGCACTCGGGGTCCAGGATTAGCCATTTTACTTCGGGATTGATATGTATTCACCTGAGTTTTAATATGTTGATCTAGCTCCACAAATGTCTTTTGTAACTTTCTTCGCTGGTTTGGTGTATTTGTAGCCATACAGGCCGTGGATAAATGTCAACAGTTTTACGGCTTATGTCAATATCGGTTCCCTCCGTTGGTATACAAACTCGATAAGCAGGGACATTTTCACGCATTGTGAACCCCGCATAAAATACGAAGAATGTGCACTTTTGATTTCCACCCAATCAAAACATACAGCGATTCTGTACACGCTTTTCATTGAAGGAAATATTTTCTTCTAATGTAAGCGTACTTTCTGCAGCTTGTTTGGGTTTTGTGAAAGGATCCTTTATTCTGTCAGAGCACTGGGTCATTTTAATATTCCCATTTCTTCTACAAAGGTAAACTTTCATCTTTTTTTGTTCATTTTTTATGCCCTTCATATAATATTATCAACAGATCTCGTGCACCTGGTGCTAAAATTGAGACAAAAATCAAGTATATCTGGGACTCAGCAATTCTTTTTGAAACACGAAGTTAGGACTCTAGCTCAAGTTTCTGAGATATTACTAATAAATTGTTACTGTGTGCTTAATAATTTAAGTGCTTTTATATAAATAATCTATCCCAAGAAGTGTTTGCCACATAAAAATTATAATACTAAAATATCTAATCATCTCATGATCATAGAAAAATCAATAGGATTTATGAATCCAAGTTTACGTGTACACCAAAGACATAACAGAATTTAAAACTTAAAATTTAAAACACTTTTCTTGTAATAGCTAATTATTATCATTTTTTTTCCAGTGCACTTTCAATTTCAACTAACAGAAGAAGGTTGGTGTTGAAGATATAAAGTCACCTGACCCGGTTCAAGTTGTGCAGTTGTTAACTTAGCACAAAAGAATAATGAACAATCAACCCATCTGATTATCTAGTTTTCCCTTTCACAATTTAAATATTTGCCCACATCTATTTTTCAACCAAAAGGAAGTTTTCTATTTGATTTCTCCTAGCCCTGAAAGGTACTATTATCTTGTCAAATATTGTTCTAGTCCAAAAAATGTCAACCCTTCAAAATTAATTTTGTAGAGGACATTTGCAGATTTATTTTGAAATGAAATTTTGTGTGGAGAAAATCAACACTGCTGTACCCTTTTCACTGTCCTTTCTCAAGCATAATTTACATAGTATAAGATGATCTGCTTTTTAAACAAAACTTGAAGATCAAGAAAAATTATGGATTCAGAAAGCAATCTTAATCAATTATCTTCACAGGATAAGAAGAGAAAAAGGCGACTAATTCAATTTTTTCCACATTTTTGGGTGAAAAGAGATAGCATCACCACGTCTTCTATATCGTGTACATAGCATCTCCGCCTCAATAACAATTACATTAACAATTGTCCAACTTCAAATAAATTTCACAAATGAATGCCCACACTGAACATTTCCTCATCACAATGCATTAAACCACCAGAAAAGTAGGGTTTGCTATCATCACCGCTCTTTGTTGTAAGACAGAAAGAGAGCTTCCTTTCTCACCAGATGTGAAGAAAATAGCTTTTAGTACCCCTTATTCAACTATACAGGAATCTTTTGAAGAAGCCTGGATAATGCTCGAACTTTTTCTACTCATTTTCAGATTTTTTCGCATGAATAATGGACTTTGAATCATAATACAGACTCATACAAAATTTATCACCTCAATTTCCCCTATAGAAAGTTTCAATCTTACCAGTAATTGTCATTGGGGGATTATTTCTACAACTACGGATTTAAATACAGGAAACAGTTGTACACATAGACTTGTGAAATGAGAATATTGATAAAGTGTATTGTGAATACGTATACTTTTTTATGAATGAAAACAAATTTGTCACAGGTGTGTATATCAAGACTCCCAAAGTCCCAAAGCAAAGAAATTTTACAATCTACATGAAACAACTTTACTGTGAATAGAAAGCATAAAAAAACAGCCTGGCTTTTTTTACTGAAGGATTTGACAATCAAATAAAATCTCATTTGATATTTTTATATAATATCCTTACATAGTTGTTTTCACATTTTCCTTACCTCCCAACTCTTTCCAACTTTATCATTTTAACCAGAATATTCACACAAACACTTTTATAGATCTGACATGAACATACTTTATCACTTTATGCTTTAGGCCATTCAACAATATTTTTCACGTCCCGTAAAAGGTTAAAAATGGAAGCAATCCCACTTTATTTTAATTCTCAGAAAAAAATTGAAAGACTAGTATTAAATTTATGTTAACATATTAGGAAGTTAAATATTGTGGAATGGCCACTTTACTACAAGTAATCACAATATTCCTTACCTCGAGTGTTTTCTGATCTATGGAAGAAGTAAAGGATGGATGGCTCTTGAACGTGGAAATCTCAGTACCAGATAAAGTGCCGCCCCCTGGTGACTGTCTCATCTCCTGCCCATCGGGACGTCCAAGGAGGCTGGACTCTGATCGTGGGGTTAGCTGCTGTTCTCTCATGACACACTGGCCACTCTCCTCTGGCTTGAAGTCGTTATTGTTACTGTTATTGCTGCCGAAAGAGCGTTTACTGCCATTGAGGGCTCTCTGTGCCTCAGTACGACAGTTGTATGCATGGTTGTCTTTGTTCTGTCGTTTGATCATAATAATGGCGATGACGAGGATGATGGCCAAAATGGCTGACACTGTGGCTAATACAATAACAATGATTAAATTTTGACCCAAACCTTCTCCCATCTGACTCTTGTTAGGACCAACTAGAGGCACGTAAGGATCATTGGTGACATGAATGTAAAAATCGACAAGGACTTGATTTGAGGGGGTACCCTGGTCAGTTACAGCAACAACGAGTCTGTACGGTCGGCTCCTGCTCTTGGTTATATCATCTAAGCGCATTTCACGTGAAATGATGATATCTCCCGTGGCAGGGTCAATTCTGAAGATATTGTGTGAGTCGGGTTTATCTAACGAGTATACAAGTTCAGCATTGACCCCGGAATCAATGTCCTCTGCCACAATGGTTGCTGCGGTGATTCCCACTGGGGTCCCATATGACAGGGACACCGTGTTGTTATCACCATAGGGATATATGATGTTAGGTGGGTTATCATTTATATCCAGGAGAATGACTTCAGCTTCAATGGCTGTGCTCTGAACTGTTGTACCTCTGTCCCTGGCAATGACAACCAATCGATAACTACCTTTACGTTCCCGATCTAAGCTCTGATTGGTTGTTATCCTCCCAGTGTTGGGCTCAATGGTGAAGAGCTCTGCTCCCTCACTGTTGGGGTCCAGTCCGTACCACACCTGACCGCTGCTGCCCTCGTCGCGATCTTCAGCAAATACTTCTCCCACGTATTGATACCTGGTCTGGTTTTCTTTAATTCTGAACTCATATGGGAGGTTGCTTCCCTTGAACACTGGGCTTTCATCATTCTGGTCCAGGACGGTGACACTAACTGTCGCAGTGGCAGTATTGGCAGAAGAACCACTGTCAGCAGCTATGACGTGGAATTCAAAAGAAGGCGTTGTCTCCCGATCAAACTGCTTCTTGGCTCGTATCTCACCAGTGGATGGGTCAAGGGTCACCAAACCACCGGCGCCTGAGCTAAGTTGGAAATTAATTAAGGCATTATTCCCAATGTCAGCATCTGTGGCATTGACAGTGACCAGAAGAGCCCCAACAGCATTATTCTCTTCGATCTGTGCACCGTAAATTTGATGACTAAACACTGGATCATTGTCATTCTCGTCTAACACGATTGCAAGAAAACTTGCAGAAGACCTCAGTGGAGGGCTGCCTTCATCCCAGCAGTTCACAGTCACATTGTACTCACTACGCTCCTCTCGATTCAAATCTGTATCGAGGAGAATCTTATACATGTTATCATCATTGGGATACTTAACAAGTCTAAAGTCCTGCGTTGCCAGCTCACACTTGGTTTGGCCATTGGGCCCACTATCAGCATCAGAGACAGCCATGTGAGCGACATATTTTCCTGCTCCTTCCGATTCCCACATGACTGCATGCCCAGCGTACTGAGGCTCGGGACTGGAGGAGATAATGTTGATGTTAATAAGGGGCTCGTTGTCATTGACATCCACAACGTTGACTGTGACAGTGGTGCGTGACGAACGCGCCTCTGGGGTCCCTTGGTCTGTGGCATAGACTGTGAACTGGTAGGGACTGTCATCATATACCACATTGCCTTTCAGTGTTATTAACCCATTGGAATTGATATCAAACAGAGCTCGAATTTTAGCTGAGGTACCACTACTGAAGGAATAAGCTATTTCACCATTAGTACCTTCGTCTGGGTCAGAAGCATGGACTGTTAACACAGAGAAATTGGGACCAGCAGTTTCTGTAATAGACTTCTCATATCCATCTACTTGGTCAAACACTGGAGTATTATCATTGATGTCTCGGACTTGGATACTTATTCTTACTGTCCCTGAGCGTACAGGCACTCCGCCATCCCTGGCAATTATTGTGAGAGAGTATGAATCTGTGGTTTCTCGATCCAATGGCTGAAGAACGCGGAGCCCAAGCTCAGTGGCTCCATCTACAGTGGTTTGCTGTACCAGACCGAAGGCAGAATTCTGGGGAAGCAGCTCGTAATGTTGCACTGAGTTTGTTCCAAAGTCAGGGTCTGTAGCACCATTAGTGAAGAGAGTATGATTAACAGACACAGACTCAGATACCTCAAAGTCTAAACTGTCACTCGGGAAGCTGGGAGAATTGTCATTGGTATCCTCAATTTCCACCTGAACTTTGATTATTTCTACATATTGCACTGGAACATTTTTCACAGAAACAGCCAAATCGACCAAACAGCGTACTGAGAGATCGTCAGCACAGACTTCCTCACGGTTAATAGTTTCCGAGGTCCTGATAACGCCAGTCTGGTTATCTAGTCTAAAATATCGGGTCCCTGGGTAGCCCTGAGTAAGGAAGTTATACCGGAGTTGTTGTAACACAGGGTCACTAAAACGCCGGGTGTAGTTGGCGTCCGTGGCGATGTTGCCCACATAGAGCCCCGCTGAACCCCCCTCTCTGACTTTAGAGTGGATGCCAGGCCCTGTTTGGGCAGCACTTTGAATAATGAAAACTGAGGCTAGCACAACACAAGTGAAAAACCTCATATTTGATGGCATATTTACAAAAGCCATGTTGAATAGTTTCTGATTTTTTTTCAGTAATAGCTATATTGAAAGCCTCCTTCCTGTACACATATAAAATTTACAAAAGCAAAATGTCACTAGCGTGAAAACTCACAAACTGTCCAGTTATCACTGATTCCCGTATTTCATTTGAAATGTCCCAAGTGTCCTTTTCTTTCAATTGATTTTCTACTGAAAGTCCTTGTTCTTCAGTTAGTAACTGCTGGGTAGGAATCCTGGAATCAAAATAAAATCCAAATGTAAGTCAACTTGGCCTGTCACCACTACATAAAGATATGAGAGACACTGAATGCTGCCTCACTTTTTAAGACAGCGACAGCAGCCCACCTCTCACTGCAGTGTCTCTTACTCACTGACTGGTCATGGTTTTGCACTGAAGTATCTTGAGCAGGTTGAAGCCTTTTCACTCCATCCTACAAGGTAATTACAGATCATACAGATAGTCAAATGAGCTGGCTTCCTTACTTCATACACCACTCCCATTGGACGGTTAGTACAGACCTGAAAGGACCATACAAACCAAAGCTCATTCATTCTCTTTACTGTCATTGGTCAGTGTAAGCAAAGGGATTTGTATGCAAATGAATGATCACAGCAATTTCATCAAGGTATGCTGTGGCCTTCCAGTCCACTGCACAAGGTTAGGCTACAAGAATGGGCAGTGTTTTCTTATGTTTGTTATTATAAGGGAAGTTTGTTGCCTGCACCAAAGACCCCCATAGAATACCCAGTTTGAAAGCCCACTGTAGCAGACTGGTTATTTGAATTCTGCCTTTTGCTTTTTCAGTCATATATTGCATACTGGGTGCTTTGGGACTAGACTTAATTAGCTTTTGGTCTACCAAAATATTGGCGACCATGGGTGGAAAGGGGACAATACAAGAGGTGAACAGTATGGAAATCTGGGTTACACTGGGCGGCTGATCAAAACAACACTTTCAGACTTCAAAAGCCCCTGCAGCCCTTACACCACTATTATGTGAACCTATATTGCTAGGCCATTGTTATTATTTTTAAATCATTAAGTGAATCAAAATTCCTTCTTTATTCATTTTTTTCTATTTTTAAATCATGAAATGAATGGAATTTTTTCTTTTGTTCTAAAATATCTTAATTAAGATTTGAATTTAAGGGGCTTTACACAAAATATTTCATACAGTTCAAATAGGTAGTGCACATGTTGTTATACACAAATTTTTCTATTTTATTCAACTTTTGTTTTTATTTTAATTTTCAATTTACATGACAATTTATTAATTCTTCTAACATGCTATCTGAACAGAAAAATTTATAAACAATATTTGGCATGTTTAATTTTCTATTGCTTTCTCTTTTGACAGAGAGATAATGTAACCTTAAAATTTTTTAAAAATTATTTTATCTTATAAATCATTTTCTGTCCTGTTTTATATACTATTATATTTCTTTCTTTTTTTTTGTCTTTACAAAGAGAGAGAAATCATGAAACTGGTACACCTGCCATACTGGTTATTGTACTTGTAGTGGAGAGATTACAGCTTGTAAAGTGCTGACATCTGAATACACCCTCACAAAGACGTGCCTCACAATAGAAGATCATGTTTTTTTGCTTTTAAGCCCTTAACTGCAAGCAATTGAACTTAGTCAAATATGAAAGGCATTACAGAGAAAAAGAACTTTCAGTGGACAAGTACATGTGGTGTAGCCAGCCTGGGAAGCCCGGGTATCCAGATTGTCTCCTTGTCACCCGACTGTCAGACAGAAGTGATTCCACTAACTACCATCCCAATTACCTGTCTCTCGCCTCAACTCCAGTCCCTCATCCCATGCTGTGAAGTTCTAACTCCTGACCATTGACACTGACCCTAATTATCTGGCCATCAGGCGGCTAGGTCATCTATCAGGAAGACCAGAAATCAACCAGAAGGTGTGATTTCTCCCATTTGTTAGAGAAGATTTATTGGTGTAAACAAATGTATTGATCTGCTCAATGTTTTGTGGAAAAACTATTTGATTTGGCACATAATTAGTCAGGGGATCACAGAAAACTATAATCCAAGATCGTGGTATACAGCTCACTTATCAGACCAACAAGGCAATGGTATCCACGTTTTATATTTGGATAACCGTTCACTTAATCCCCGCTTAAAAATTCAGGCTTGGATCCAAGAGCCATGCCAGGCAACCAAAACAAAATGAGATCCTGTTAACAAAAGAAAAACTTCTCGTTTACCTAGCAGCTGAATGTCAATTAAACCAAAACACTGTGTCTTATCTCCCATACCCTGTGTGGCACTCTCTCTTCACAAATCCTCTCAGATTTAATTTCCGTGGACCAGGTATTTAGTTGCATCTTATTTCACCAGAACAGAATTCAATTTAGGATCGTAAGACCATGTTTTAAGAAGCAGGGGATTGGTTTTAGTGCGGCAACGTGCTCTACCCAAACCACACCATTACAATACTTTCCACCTGACCAAAGCTTATGCCGCACAATAGCCATTACATAAGACAGTGCTGTTACGCTGGAATGCAGAGATGACACACACAACATGCCCACTCCACACTTAACCCTAGCAGTGACACACAATCCATCCAAATCCTCCATGCACACTGGAGACTCTAGAGTAACAAATGCTGCAGGCCTAATTGAAATCCTATGTCTAAATATGACAAGGTGTAAAAGGAGCCTCGAGTGGTTCAGTGTATTGTTTGCATGGAATCAATTCAGCGAAGGTAATTCTATTGCGATGACTGCTGGAGAGTCCATGCGGGCCTCTTGAAGCCTCTTCACAAACCTCTTCAGCAACTGCTCAACATGGGGCTACAGCTGTCAAAATTTCAACTTGAGGAGAAAGGAAAAAAGTTTGAATTTGTCAACTGTTATTCTAAGGACCACTCTGAATGGATCTGCACACATCTTCTAATAACTTTTGGTATAATGCTCAAAAGTACAGATCTCCTTATTTATTTTTGGCTTCTAACAAATCTTGACCTGACAAAGTTCTCTCTGTACCTTCCAGTCATGTTTCTCAGTACAGGTCAAAAGATTAAGAGCTCATCACGACAGGGAGAATGACATTGGCCATAGTACTAATTACTATGATTATCAACAGAACTAACAATATTATACCAAAGAGACAGCAATTTTTTTCAAATAAATGTAAACACAAGCCAGTTTCTCATAAAACCATATCTTTCACGTGTGAAAAAAAAAAGGATCCATGAAGGGATACAATGAAAACACTAAGTAAATTAATAATACACTACGTCATATATACACCATATAACTGGCTTCAAAATAATAACAGTATGATTTCCTTACATGCCCTATTACCAGTGTTAAGTGATTAACTGACAAATATATCTATAGCATTTCATCTTTATTTCCTATATGGAAAAGCACACAGTCAAAATGGCTTCAGCAATTCATCTCTATATAATAAACTGACAGCTATGCCGGCAGTTAGCAGTCTCTCAGCAGAAGACTTCCACAAGAAGCCATACAGTTTTTCAGTCCACTTGATAAGCCATTGAAGAGTGGCAGTTCACACATGGCTAGTGGAGTGGGTGAATGACAGAAAAAGATTGCAGCACTTTTGCTGAAGCACTCTGTGCAGCCGTGATAAATTGAATCACTCAATCAAGCTGTAACATTCTGAAGCAATGCTTGTTTTTTCAAGCCTCATAAACCTGTTTTAGTGTTTAAATTTCAATTTATTGGAATATCCCGTTACTGGCAATAAGCTTTTTATGGAAATCAGCATTAATTCCAATTTCATAAAACATTCCATCACATGACAGAACTTTTTCATGCTTCCATTAGTCCAATGAAACCAAATAAATTTATTTCAACTTTTAAACTGAAAGCACTTATACATACATCTGTGGTGAATAGTAATACATTTCATTATTTTATTTACAACTGTACTTTGTTTTCATGGAATAAAAATCGAAAGATATTCAACATTTGTTATCAACCAAACATTCACTCCACTACATCCAATGGCAAACAAACAGTAACTGTAAAACACTTGCTGCAGACAGGTAACAAGACAGTGATATAAAGAGCTAAAAGGCAGATAAACTGCAGTTCCTGAGATTTTGCACAGATAGACTGTCTGAGGAGAAGATGAGGAGAGATATCAAACACCAAGGTGTCTTTATCAGTAAGGGGAGGTGGACTGTACACCCTTTCTTCATTAGGCATAACTACTAGTCATATTCACAAATTTAATCAGAAAATTCCGCAAAGCAATTATCATCATCATCATCTCATCCTATTCTATTCACCAATGACCAGCCTGACTACTACATATGCCATATTGCAAAGTTGCACTTGGTACAGAAATGATTTCCTTCTAGAAAGAGAAATTACGGAGATTGTATAATTATTACTGTACAACACTGTATGGACTAAGGTGTCGGGCAATTTTCTCCCCCATACAAATCTGTTACACTATAATCAAAGTGATCATCTTCATTCAGCAAAGTCTGGACCCCTCTGATAAAGATCTAACAATTGAAATTTAACAAAGGAACACCTAACCAAGAAGTAATACCTATTTACTGTATAATAAAACATGCCTTTCTTTACATGGATTGACTATCCAAAGATACATTTCCTGTTGCATTGAAAATTGTGGGGTTTAGTTGAATTAGAAGACAGGAAATAATATTTAAGTATAGAGAATGGTAAATATTGTACTTAGGGTGAGAGAGTCATGAAAGTCAGGGTATTTTCCCAGAGAAATTTTTACACCCTTTTCACAAAATCATGGCATATCATTGCCAATTCAAAACATATAATTGCCTTCTCCATTGAAAATATGAAAGACTTCAAATGGACACTTTTCCTGCAATACACTAAACAATAGCACACCTATACGGAATTACTAGTTAGGAGACTTCCTACCCATAAGCTGCTAATAACTTTCCACAAACTCTTCAGGAACTAATTAATAATTAACAGCTCTGCCATGAGCTAGTTCATTTAGGTTTTCCATTCCTGTGAGGTCTTGGCCTTGCATTTATGATTTGGGAGATCAATATTTAAGGGTAAAAAAATCCAAAATGTTTAATGAAATATTTGATCAATTTTGCATTTTCAGAAGAAGCTCTCTAACAGAATACAAACTTCAAAATAATCATTATAATGAAAATGCTGACTTTTTAATGTGACAAGTTCATTTTTTAAAACAAAACTTTTAAAATATTTAATGCTAAGTGTAAACTG